ACTTTGGCACTGTATTTCTTTTTAAACTAGGGCCAGCAGAATAGAAGCAGGCAAGATATTTGGCGGTACAACTCCAAGATCTTTTTATTTCAGCTGTTTCGATATTATGCCAACCAAAGTCAATTGTTTACTTCCAAATGGAACATTCTTGTTTCCAATATCTGTGAAAAGAAAACTAGGTTGGGTCTTTTCCATGTCCAGAAAGAGTGTTTTTGCCTTTGAAGTGTTGTTTTAGTAAACATCTTTGTCACATAGTCGGAAGAGTTAGGTTATTAACTCATCCTATCACAAGAAAACTTAAATAACAAATCATGTAACAAAACAAAACAGAAATCCACAACATAACATATCCTAATGCAGCCTATACCATACCATGTCTTTTATTTTTACACATTTTAAACTTGTTCAGCTAGTTATTCTGGGTCTAGTCAGTCAATCACCCAAATGACCAGAAAGGCAAATTCTGACAGGGTCATTCTTGGTTCTTTAACTGGAAGGGATCTGATTTTTGCCTTTTGGGTTTCTCCCCATCACACTTAATTCACTGATTGCTCCAGTGTACTTCTCGTTGCAGTCCTCAACCATAGCTGGGGAGTGGGAAGTCTCTTGACTCCCCACCCTCAAAGTCAGGGCTATTGGTTCAGAATTACAATGGTCCTTTGCAAGGTCTTACAATGTGATAGTTGCCTGATGGGATTTGTGACAGTGATCAGGTAATAGGTATACATGACTGTGCCTCCCCATGGGTGGTAGTTCTTCAAGTGTTAGTGAACTCCAGAGCACTTATACATAGATTGTTAATGCCTGATCTGAACCTGATTTTTAACTAACCAAGACAATAGTTAGATCAGTAATGAGGCACATGTTCTTTACTTTTACTTTCTGCTTGTATAATAAGGTAGGGGAATAGACAAATAGTGCCCCAACATCTTTGTTGGTGCCTTCCATAGTTCCTGACCCATCCCATCTTTAAAACATTTTCTGGCAGCTGGCATTACTGTCAAATTGGTATTTGTTGGTGCTGGAAGCTGTGGATTTAAGGGAATTGTATAATGTGTTGGTCTTTGAAGCAAATTATTGTCTTTTGTTATGCTTCTTATGGAAGCCATTTCATGGTGGTGCCCAAGACACTTTCTCAATTTTCTAAATGTCCCCTTAGCCCAAAAAGTTTGCCTATCACTGGCTCAGAATTTCATAACTTTTGGTAAGACCACATTTCTGTTCAGTCCCAGCATAAGCAGGGGAGAAAATAAAAACTATTTTTAAAAGTTTACAAAATATTTTAAAAATTACATTCTAGATCTAAATTTAGTTCTAAGCCCTTTGAATTCATTATGGCTTATTCTTGTATAATGCTGCCTATATTGTGTTGTTTGCTGCCTATACTCTGTGTAAGAGAAAAAATGGAGACAAGCTACTGCCACCTCCCCCTTGAATAGACATACCTTATGCCTAGTGGTTGTGGCTATTTGTACACGGTAGTCATTCATTCTTCCTCCTATCACAGGTACCAGGACACAGTCATAGTTTGCCCTTTTTGCTCCCAGAGTGCCAAAATGTTTTTTTAATGTCTTTCAAATGCATCTAGTTGAACTCATCTGTGACACCCCTCCCCCAGTTTTAATTTGCTTCTTCTCTTATGAAGTGTTTCTGCACATGTTCGAGAGAGATAAAGGCCCACAACAGAAAAGCCATGACTTGGCTGGGGTGGCCAAGGCTTGCTACTTTCAGGCTGCCACTGTAGGTTTTATAAACACTGCAGCAGGGAATAGTCTTGCATAGCTAGTTTTACTAATGCTGTTCACTTTCCAAGCATGTTGAACCACTGTAACCCACAGGCTACAGAAATGGTACAAAGCTGCAGGTCTGTTGCAGTGGATAAAAATTGGTCCTTGTAGTTCCTTGCTTTTGAATATTCTTGTTCTACAGAACTATATATTTCTCCCTGTTGCACCTGTTTCTTTGCAGTATGGAGGCAGAGCAAAAACCCTTTATAGAAGGACTACAGTTAGGAGAAAATGAGCAACGCAATACAGTATTGCAGGTGTTTTCTGAGATTTGTTTACATTAGCTCACAGTGGAATTGCCTTTTTCACTGGTAAGTACATTGGATAATAACCATGTGCTTGGGAACTGATTGATGTTTGTGCCAGTACAAAAGAGAATGCAGGCATAACATACAGCTTATATGGGGAGGGGCAAGCCATAATGTTTAATTATTCTTATTTTATTATTTTATTCATTTATTTAAAACTTTTCTATACCATCCCATCACAGACATCTTGGGATGGTTTACAAAAATAAAAATAAGAATAACAGTTGCACAGCATCCAATGATAATGTTGCAATGAATATTTCAGTGAAACTCTGATGCCATAAACTTAAGCCATAAAAATAATTTTAGATATCTATTTTTCAGACACAGTTAGATGAAGAACCTTCACTTTAATTTTAAACTTCTGACTTTTTGTAGAATGCAAAATTATTATACTATGCAGTCTTCTCATTGTTGTTCCTTCAGATGACTTAAATTACAGGACAGCATGAATTTGAAGAAACTATTGTTTGAAGAAAAAGTTAACATTTTAACTGGACAGGCTTGGTCTGAAAAACCTGATTGGCTTGGCAATGACTTGTATGTGCTAGTCTTGTAAAATGGGAAAAACTAGAAAAAACGTTGAAGCATTAAAGCTGAATAATAGCATTAACTCGTTGACTGTGAGGCGGGGGCAGTTTTAATCTCTGGTACAAAATGTTCTCAAATGTAAATAGCAAGATACACATGGTGGTGAATTGATTGTGCATTGTAAGTGCTTTTAAATACTTTGATTTCCCTGCATAAAGTTCAGTTGATCTTTCCTAGCTTCATAATCCATGATGGTTTCAGCCAAGAGCCCAGCTATGGGCTTTGTTCTCAGTTTGAATAAGGCAAGAGTTTCCAATTATGTCTGATTAAGCCAGGATAATATGGTAGGATTTTAACAGTTTGTTAACTAGGATGAAGCAGGAATTCCCTAGACAGGATGAAATAGAGCTCTAGCTTTATACTAGCTAGGAATGAAGCTCTAAATCTGAGACATGAGTGGGGGTAGCAGAAAGGTGAGGAAATGGTGTCTGAATGTTTGCTCCTGGTTTCATAAACAATGGTGCATGAAGTTAAGAAAGCTTTTTAGAACCTAGTTTTGTAAGTAGCTCCTTTCTCAGTTGCTGTTTCCATATTAATTGTGGAGGAAATTTAGCCCAGCACACATCCTCTAATCACAATTTTGCATCTAATTTAACATATAAAGTTAGAATCTGCTGACTATAACCTGTATTAAAATATTTTAAAAAGTAAGTTTACATAATGATATGCATGAAATAGTTACCAATTATATTGCACATAATAAAGCCTGTATAAAATCAGCCTGGAGCAGAGTCGAAAGTATTTTTCTTTCTGTCCTTAAAATGTCCAGTGACTTTCCAGGATAGTTAGGCAAAAAGTTGTTTCCACTTTTAGGCTTCCAGCATTTTGCTTCAGTTATACATTTTAAATCTGTTTATTGCCCTTCCTCCTTTCAGAACAACAAAGTATGATTTCTTTATAGTTCTCTAAAATGTAAATTGCCAACATTGTTTAATTTAATCTTTTCCACACAAACATTCATGCTTGTCTCACACTAGTGATAGATCTGCACTTTACATAACAAACAGTATATATGGTAATAGTGTTTTCAGTCTTGTCTTCACAGTTAAAATAAATTAGCTTTTTAAAGAAATTAAATTTGCATTTGTGAAATGTGGTAATTTGAGCACTATGGATCGCTAAGTTTGCTAACAGCATAAAAGTTGTCGTACAGGCAAAAGCTGTTTTTTTCCCCTGAATAATGATGACAGTTGACCTAGTTCATAAGCCTCCTGGAGATTGCCATTTTGCATTTCAAAAATTCAAGATACAGCAGAAGAAGGGGGTGCACTGGAGCTTACTGTTACATGTGAACTTGGTGAATGTGGATTGTTGGGGTGGTTAAAAACTCATCCCTAACCAGTGGCCTTTTCTAGGGTTGAGGATGACTCAACCACTTCAACAATCCACGCTTGATGGATGTGTGCCTAACAACAAGTTGTGGGATACTTTCACTGTGGCTCAAATTTTCAAAATGTACAACAAGAAGCACTGGCGGGAAATCACATGCAAACCAGCACTGCCTCTTGACATTTTGAGTAGAAAGTTTAGGTGGCCTCAATGAAAGAGAGACTAATAATCTTACTTTCTAGAAGTTCTGCTTTTATGCAGGGTGGATTTGATTTAAATTAAATCAATTTAAATCACCAGTCAGTAAAGTCTGGACTTAAATCATGATTTTCTATATAATTTGCACACATGCCTGCCCTACCCATAGGTAGAGGAACTTCATTAAGATATTCCTAAACTGGATCTCTTTTGTGGCCTGCTGCCATTATAGGATTTCTCCTCCAGGGAAAGATAAACCTCAGGATATACACAAAAAGATTCAAAGAATTGTGGAATATTCTGCTTAACAGGATTCATTCTCATATTTACTGCTTGCTGGTCCCTCCTCACTTCTTTTGCAGAACTATACTGCTGCCGAACAGTCTTCTTTATTCATCAAATTTTTTGAAACTTAGCATTTCAGAGGTAAGGAGTTGATTCTGTATACATAGATTTGCAAAGGAACAATGGGATTAAGGCCTTCTCAGCTCTGTATGTACATTTTATAACATTTTGGCTTTCAAGAAAAGGCATGTGACACACATTTATAATTTTGAGAACTGTTAAAGCTAAGCTGATAATACCTTCTTGATAGAAAAATTGCCCAATAATCTTACAGAAACCTTTGGAAGAGCATGACATTGTGAATGGATTAATGGATTTCATTTGCCAAAACATTTAAACATTACATGAATATACAGCCTCATTCTTCATAATTAAATACCATTCCTTATTTAAAGATGCATAACCTTTAAACTATAATGTATCTGAAACAGAAAACTGGATATTTTTTCCTCAAAAAGCATTTTATTTAAAAAAATTAAACCAAAATCTGATTTCAATTTTAAAAATCCATTTAATTTTTTTTAAATCATTGATTTTTATCCACTCTGCTTTTATGTTCTGAATATTTGATGTGCGTCTTCCAGGAATACTGTGTTCTGACATATTTGGAGGTAAAAGTGAGTAAAGTATCCTGTACTGGCGTTCCACAGGCAATTACTTAATTATGCTTTGCTCTGTTTGCTCTCTTCCTGTCTAATTGTTGAATGGTTCTTATTAGTGAACAATCTGAAATGATCTTAACAAATCCCACCATCAAAAATAGTTTCAAATGTTTCTCCACTGCCTATGAAAAGCCAGTCAACCTTTTTTTTTGACAGGTTTTGCTAATTTGTTGAACACCTTCCAGATAATATTGTGCTAGTTTCCATTTCAGTAGGTTTACAGTTTTCCTTCATCAAGATGCTAAATAAAATTGTTAGGAACATAAAATCTTTCCCGAGGAAGTGAATAAAATATCACAGTGAATGCTTATGTTTCAAGCACTTGTTTGCTGCGTGTTTTCGAAGAATATCACTGGTATCAAAATTCCTTCATGTCACATCCAGTATTGTCTTATGCCTTTTTAATGAAATAATACTTTAGAAAGATAGCATTCTTACTCTTCATTAGTATGGTAAAGCTACCCTCAGTTACCTCTTAAAAAGTTGCCATATGGTAAGCAGTGATGATACTACTTGTACCTTTGCCAATGACCTCTTTCTCACTCATTTAGTTTCATGTCTTCAGTTGTGTGCATTTCTGCTGCCAACTCTGAAGCATACAGGGCATTTAAAAATAAAAGAGGAAGAACTGTATCTCCACCTACAGCTATTAGTGCAGTTATTCCCTCTTGCATCACGGCTGTCCCTGTTCATTACATGCTCAACCAGGGCTATTGCAAAGTAGATTTAATTATCCAGAAATCCTTTTATTTGCAGCAGGGAAAGCACCAACAGCATATTGCTCTGCAAGGATTTTTCTTTCGATACCTGGCTGCCAGTCTGAACTTTTCCCTGCATGTCTGAACATAGTCCTGAGTATTAACAACTTCCATTTCAATGTTGTTGATCATTTCACCTTGCTCTTCAACCAACAGAGAGATTTGCATGAAGAGGCCTTTTAAGTCTTTCATCTGGTTCTCGAGATTGACCAGTTCTTTGTGTCTTTGTTCAATCTCTGATAACTGAGCTTTAGTGATCTTGACCTCAGTGAGCAGATTTTCATTGAAGATTTCCCATTTCCCTTGTTGAACCATATTGTTCACTTCTTCCTCAGATACCTCTTTTCCAGCCACTTCAAGCTGACGAACAATGAAACTTTTGCATTTTTCTTGTTTAGCTGTTATTGCATCATTGTACAGAAACATGATGTTTTGGAAGCGACGAAATAGGACTGCCCTCTGAGAAGTGAGAACCCTTCCGATGGCAGATGATGAGCCATGTTCTTTTTCTGCCTTCTTGACTGTTTTTGACAAGTCATCCAAGCACTTGCTAATATGTTCTGCTTGATTTTTTATTTCTCTTGTGGCACTGCATTCCTTTTTAAGCATACTGAATCTTCTCATAGAAGCCACAAGGCTCTTTTGCTGCTGACTAAATTTCTGAACATCCGCTGCTAGATTGTTAATATCATTGTGAACCCGCTGGATTTCATTCAGATACCTTTCTGTTATGGGTTCCTTTTCAAAAATAACAGCTGCTTGTTCCAGTTCTCCATGTTCTTCTGCCACAATAGTAGGAACATGGCTGTTTTCTTCAAGTACTTGCAGCTCCTTTGCTCGTAATTTAAGCTCTTGAAGGCGGTCTTTCATCTTCTGTTGCTCTTGTATTAAACTCAGCCAGTGGTGTAAACCTAAGGATTACATATTTTGTTAGCTGTTTTTTTACCAACTGACTTACTAGAGGCATCACAGAAAAATTAGATGGATTTTTCAAAGTCAGAAAAATGCAGCAGCTGAAGATATGCAAATACGGTACATATGGTGGCACAGGCACACATGTTTAGACATCTCTTTTAAATACTTGGTCAGCGACTAGCTTTAGAAATTGCTTGGTAACATGCATGGGAGTGTAGTACGCATTGTTTGAAAGCCAATATTGGTATGGTATTCATTTTTGCATTTTGCTTTCTTTTGGAAAGCTGAAGTGATCAACGTATACGGGATATCTTGGTGCAGTTCTTATGTGGCATTTTTACTTTCCTAATCATACATGGGAGGATGGTTTTGATTTGCAATGTCTGTCCCCCTTATTCTCATCCTCTTGCCTCCCTTCCTATTTTTTTTGAAGTTAACAAAGTTGGTCTAGTGCAATGTTCTTTGTGTGGGGCTGCTTTTGAGGCTAAAAGTTTCAGTTAGTATAAAATGTAGTGGATAGTGCCAGATGGGACAACCTACTGGAAACGAATAGTAAAAATTTGCATTGGCTGCCAGCAAATTACTGAACCAAGTTCAAGGTGATTGTACTGACCTATAAAGTCCTACACAGCTTAGGATAAGGAATCTGGATGGAATATCTTCTTCCTTTTGATCTAGTATCATGTCCTATTGGTTTTGCCTTGAATTCACTATATGGCAACCCAAAAGAGCATGTGTTCAATATAGGTACCCATTTGTTGGATTCTCTCCCCTCTCACATGTGGTCTGTATAGAGTCTTACAAACTTTCTCACCAATTAAAGACCTATTTGTTCATCCACATTTTTGATAGCTTCTGTTCTGCTGCATATTGTGAGATGTAGCTTATTTGTATTTCTCCCATTATTATTTTATCAGTGTAAATTCGTATGATTTTAACTGTGCTTTACTAGTTTTCTACACTGTTTTGATACTATTTTAATGAAAATTAAATAAACCATACTGAACTAAACATTAATCTTGGTTGCCTTCTAACATTGAAACTACAGCTAGCATTTACATTTGTGCATGCATAAATACATTTGAAAGGGAAGTAAGGGAAGAGAAAATTTGTGCAAGGGTATAAAGGAGAGGAAGAAGTAGCATACAACTTGGTGCATGCAAGTTTATAAAGTTTCTTAGGTTTTCTCTACATTTTTGGTTTTGAATGTGATGGGGTTAAAGTGGCTTGTGACCTTTGATCTGAGAGAAATATAAACCCTTCCACTTGGTGTCAGGGTCCAGGGCCAGGACATGGGCAGCAGAAGTCAAGGTAAAGGCACTGGGACCAGGCAAGAGAACTTGAGACAAGACAGCATCCAAAGTCTGATAGCAGGGTTCACTGGTAAGTCCAAGTCTCAGCCAGGGTAAGGAACCAGAAAGACAGAGGTGCAGATACCTTGAGACAGGATAACTTGGCAGGATACACAGCATGGCAAGAGACATGGCAAGGATCAGGTAAGAAGAAAAAAACACAACTAGCAGACAAACCTGCATTGTTGAGGCAAAACGGCAAGGCAGGATACAACAGGAACCAAATACAGTAAGGGTCAGGCAAGGTGCAGAACCTGAACCTGAACCACACCACAACCAGGAAGAATACCCATGTTGCTGAAGTGAGACAATGAGGCAAGATACAGGCACTATAGCAAAAAGGAACCCAGATCCTGACAGGCTATGTATTATTTGCATGCTGTGGTTCATTCACTGTGTATGATTTCCTGCAATGTGAATCATATGTTGCTTTTTTGCATTTTATGTGCTATTATCCATTCTGCGGTGCTTCAATATTAAAACTATATCCTGTATCCATATGCTTTGTAGACACTGGGAAAGGATTGCATGTGATGCAATTTGTAGGCTATTAGGTGCACAATTCAAGAGATGTTTTATGAATAGAGTATGCAATGTGTGGTGTTCTCATACACATTTTGTTTGGAGACCCTTCACAATGTAGGCTCAAATCTCTGAAGCCACTTTTTCTAACAGGATCACATGGGAAAAAAACACTAGCAGCCAAAAGGCATTTGCAGCACTGACACAGAGATTCTCCACCTACTTGAGTAGACATACATGATAAGGTGCTTATATATGTGATAGCATTGATACGTTGTAACATGCATATGGTATACTGCCATGCTGCAGCAGTTTGCAGCTGTCTCAGTTGGGGACTGTAATCAGTGGGGCTTCCCCTATGTTGTCTTAAAAGAAAATTACCCATCAAATTAATCTGTGAGAGAATACTCAAGCCTACTTGAGTATTTAAGTCACCTGCACACTAGCTTGTCTGAGTATCCCCTGATGACTTTTCAGTGGGGCGGTGGGTATCAAGTGAGGACAGGGATTTTTTCAGTGTTTTTAGAATGGGACCTAGCATGTAATGTTGGGTGAGGGATGAGCCAAGTGTTCTTGTCACTTCTGCTATTAATCAGCAGCAAGAACATGCAAGTGAAGTATGTTCTTGCTTCTGCTTTTAATCAATAGCTCAGGAATGCCCTCATTCCTTGGCAGTGTTGTGATGTCTGAACCAGAGAGGCTGTGTTTTTTATGAATTAGACTATACAGAGTTAACCTGACAGCAAGCCATGGGCAATTGTTAGAGTAACTCTGGGTTGTTTTGTCCCATGGACAGGAAGGTTTAGATATCATAGGGTTGTTGATTAAAAGCAAAAATCACAACACTTGCATTCTTCCCTATTCCCAGAATTCCTGGGCTAAATGACCCAGGAATTGACCAGCATTATGCCTGACCTGGATTACTGTTTTATGTGCAAGAGCAAAACAATTTTAATTTCCCACATTTTAAATGAATTATGAATTTTATTTTTATTTTTTGTGCTAACTGGTAACTTACCATTTTATTACCTATCTATTTTACTACTATATTGAAACTTTGTGAAGATTCACTGCAGCCTTTAAGTACTAAATAGATGTAGGAGACTTCCCCAACCTGGTGTCCTCAAGATATGTTGGATCATGTTGGCCGAAAATGATCAGAGTTGTAGTTCACTGCATCAGGAGCTCACTAAATTGGGGGATGCTGAGATACAGAATATCCCTCCTTTGTTAAGCATAGTACTAAGGGTGCTGGATTAGGTTTAGCACTAGTTCTTACAGCAACTTTATCATCTGGAAATAACATAGATCATATTTTATTTATTCCAATCTCATGATCCAGATGATACAGGGTGGAGGTCATTGACATAATAGTCTCATAGAAAGATAATGTGAGTCAGAAGTGAGGAGGAGTTCTCAATGTAAGATTGCTCACGATGAAACTGCAGTTGTCACTCTGTAGCAATAAACTTAAACAAAATCACACTGTAAATACAATGCTTGGAAAGACATATAAAGTGAACTAATGTTGGTGGCTGGGATTTGCATCTTATAATTTATGTAGGATAATGTTAAGTTTAGGAACAGTTTCATATGGGTTGTGCCAGTTTTGGCTTGTTTTCTACAGTTGTTTTGACTTAGTAAAACTGATTTTGCACTGCAAGTTTCAGAGAACAGGCTTGTCTCTTTGCTCTTGACAGATACTAGCAATTGAGCAAATCATTGAAATATTGAGAACTGTAGTACAGTGGTGCCTCGTACTTCAAACTTAATTTGTTTCAGGCCATTTGAACTCTGAATCATTTGAAGTCTGAAGCCATGTTCCCCATTAGAAATAATGGAAACTGAATTAATCAGTTCCCAGACCCTAAACAATACCCATTTCGGCTCTGAGAATGATGGAAAAAGCACTGAAAATTATTCAAGAGGCATTCACTCAAAAAGCACTGAGAACAATCTAAAAGGCACTGAGAACAGATCGAAAAAGCACGAAGACAATAAAAAGGCACTCACTGAAAAGGCACTGAGAACAATTGAGAAGGCACTGAAATTGAATCGAAGAAGCACTGAGGCTTTTTTTTTTTACTGTACCTGCAGCTCAAATTTAGAAGGATTGTTAGACATTTGGAATTATCTTATCTAGATTTTAGCATTCAAACTTTGGAATGTTTGAACTTAGGGATGTTTGTAATTTGAGTATTTACCAAAGCTTAAGAGAGCTTCAGCATTTGTTAATATCTAATTTAACTCTCCATTGGTTATTTACATTGTTAATATTGCACTATTAATTTAATTGTTTTCCAGCTACATTCTGGGAAAACCTAAGAGTATTTTGAAGTCCATTAGAGATTCTTCAGTGAGAAGAACAGTAATGGCAAATAATTCAGGGTCAGTCCTACTATTCGGCAGATTGAAGCAGATGCCTCTGGCAGCAGATATGTGGAGGCAACAGCAAGGTGTTGGAGGGAAGAGTGTGCACCAACCAACCTTCCCTGTTCCCTCTAAGGTAGTTTGCTACCTTTAAATGTTGTGGTGGCAGCTCTTCTGTCAGCAGTCTTCAAGAAAGATTCCAGTGTCAGTCTTGTCAGCTTTTGAACATGGAATGTGGAGGAGTGCCATCTTGTACTTTGCCTTAATCAGCAAAATATTTTAGGCTGGCATTGAAAAAATCATGTTCGAATGGCAGCCTGCCTTCTTCTGTTAATATTCACTGCAGTGCATAAGCACTGGGGAAACAGAAACAGAGCGAGTCAGAAGGGACCTCCCAGGCCATCTAGTCTGATCCCCGGCTGTACTCATGACATGTCTACCATGTGCATGTCCAGCCTGTTGTTGAACACCTTCACCGATTGGATAGTGCATATTAGAAAATTGTACATATTGTGAATAAACTAGTACTCATTAGACTTTTAGGACTTAAAACCTTTTACTTTCAGCACCTTTAGGTCCAAAATACTCTTTGGGGGCTGCTTCTTAGTTAGCCTTTCTCATAAATTTGCACAGAGGTATTGCTGCTTAATTGAGGCTTTGTTCTACCAGAGCTTCCTGACCTAATGGCTGGAGACCAGTGTTTTAGAACAGGGTGGGGAGTGCACAGCATTCTAGAACAGTGGTGGGTTTGGGTTTTTTTCCCATGACTGCTGTATTATTCTTCCAAACAGCTATCTATCAGGGGCCCATACTGGTGGTTTGGTAGTTTCCAAATGCAGTGAGTGGACAAAGCTTCATCTATTTTAGCTTTACCTGTTGCTTTTTTCCATTTTTCCCTACCCTACTTTTCCCTATTACTCCCCACGTAACAGACTACTTGGGAGGGAAAAAGCACTCTTACCCAGGGTGTAAGATCACTTACAAGGGGTTTTTGAAATTATACAACAAGCAGGACGTTTCTGTTGTAGAGTATGAAGTGAGTCCTCACAGGTTAAACATGAAAGCCAACAGACACTGGTGCACTGCATGAGAACTGAATATGTGTTCTAAACATTATACAGTCATCTGTAATAGACAGGAATTGTGTGGTGGGTTTTGGTGACAAGCAAATTAATGTAAAAAGAACTTTATCAGTGTGCACATTTGAAAGCTATAATAACAAGCTTCAGATTGTACTTACAAATAAACTGATTACTTTCTCTTCATTGTTCCGTATGAATTTTAAGCACCAGACTATTTTACAATCAATTTAAATACAGATGTGGGGGTGTAATGTGTAAATGAAGGTAGCAATGCAGCATAGCATTATGAGAAACCTACAGCTGTAATAATGTGACTTAAAAAGTAATGGCTATTGTTTTGAATTGGTGATGTTGTTCAAATAACACAGGTTTTTGAAGATTAGGGAAATTCTGAAGTTAATGGATTTAAAAATCATTTGGATCCTTCTGTTACCAATGAGTGTGACCTTTGAAAATGTTTCCACATAGAGTACTAACATTTTTTTCATAAATATGAGATGATGTCATTTCTTTCCAGTGTACACATACACTCCCTTTCCCATGATTCCTAAAATAAAACTACAGACATACGCCAGGTATAATACAGTTCCCTGAACTAATTTACACCCCATTTGTTCCTGTTTTTTCCTGCTTCCTTGGTTCCAGACCACTTTCAAGTATATATAATAAACCTTAATAAATTTTGAATCCAGACATTATTTATAGGTTCCCAAGGAAATAAAGCAATGCTTCCTTTTTCACACAGCTTTTAATGTGGTATTCTTCACTTCATATGACTACATTTTGCTATAAGACTTCCTCAGCTTTAAAATGAGAAGTTTCTGCAAAACCTTATTGACTTGAAAAATTAAAGGAAAGCTCTTCTCTTAAAGCTACTTCCAGCACTTTCCCAAAAGAAACTGGGTTCATAAAATGTGGCTACCAAATTAGTACTCACATATGTAATAAACTTCTACAAAGAGATCTATTGGTAATACATTTTAGTGCTACAGAGGGCAAACACCACTGTTTTAAAGACAGCTTGATAATTGAAGGCATTTAAGTTGAACAGTGTTATTTTTTCATTATTTGATGTAAACTAAAAAGTTTGCTTACCTTTTTTAAGTCCTGTTGTTCAAAGTGACTCTTGTACTTCTGCTCTTGGATCTGATGCTTAAACGTAATTTACAATGAGCATAAATAATAGAGTTGGAGTGTGATTCCCATTAAAACAGTTTCTGCATTCTTAATCTTCCTGGACCTTAATAATCACTTGGAAAGTGCATCTTGGAAAGCTGTGAGACTTGTGTGTTACGATGTAGAGCATAGAAGAGCAAATTGGTTACTTTACACTTGAGAAATCCGGTTCTGCCAGTTGGAGACCCAGCCTTGCTTCCAAGGCGGGTCATTCTATTATAATTAGCCAGGAAGTACCTTTGCTTAGTTGCTTTCTTATTGTACTATCTGGTTTACTGGAAAAATGTCTGTTTGCCAAGTGTAATTCCTCTTCTAAAAATGAATTTCCTGAACATCAGACACTTGGCAAGCAAAGTAGAGACCTTTTTTGGAGAATGCACATCATAAGGAGTTGCAGAAATTAGGAAGGGAAAGAAATATTTTCAGATTATTAACTGCAGTCCTAATGGGATCATAGACACACAGATAATGCACTTGTGAGCTGTGGACAATTTTTGTTTCCAGTGCAACCCCATTTCACCTCCCACGAGATGCTATTCCAGGGAAAGGAGGGGTGACCTTGGAGTTGGCTGTATGGGAGATACTGGAATTCTACAACATAGACGTACAAGATCATGCATAGCAGTTTGGGTCCTTTTCACTGAATACTCAAGTTGGAATTCTCTTTCTTTTTTACTTTTATTTTTTTTTTAACTTTTTAATTTGTAATGTGTTTCTTCACTGGTCTGAAACATTTTTTTCTGAAATTAAATGTGGGTTGGGGAAGAGGAAAACCATGGCAGCTTGAGCTCCTTGGAGGAAAGTAGTGTCATAGATGTAATGAAATCAGTGGAGTTGTTGGCTATGGTTGCAGTGCACATAGAACACAATTCTGGCAGAAGGAAAAGGTAGATGAAGTTGACTATAAGTAGGTGGGTTTGTATATGTTCCATTAGTTTAGAGCACTGTTTTCTTGAAATATTCTGTTTCTTTAGAAATCTATTAAAAAGGAAATTACGGAATTAACTGTAAGAACCAGTGAGACAGTTGGACATGGACTGAAAAGATCGGTGATCAAATTCCCCTGCCATTTTTGTCTCAGATTCTCTCTCTGTAATTTAATTCATTGGGTAACCTTGTGCTAGTTGAGCATTCTCAGCCCACCATACTCCACAGGGTTGTTATGGTGATAAACTGGGGGAAGAAAATAAATTCTACAACTCTTAAGGGGAATGCAGAATAGAGATAGTAACTAATAATAATAAGCATGTTCAGTTTTATGAAGTACTATTAAGTTTATAAGTCAAAATCAAAAACATTTTGTGTTAAAATATATTGGGCTGTATCCATGTAACTGAACAGAAAACACATAGTCATTTCCACTATTCTGCTATCTCTTGCACAAAGCTTCCACAGGAATTGTGGAATAGATAGCTTTGCTTATGCAAGAACTTGCATAAGAAGTCGTCCTTCTGCTTGAACATGTTTGAATTTAGTTTCACTTTTCTTGAGCAATGCTTTAAAGCAATGCATAAGGTAGCCTTTATAGTTCCACACAGAGAGGAACTATGATTCCTTTCATAGTTCCAAGCCATTGATATTATTACTTAGTTCTCAGTGCTCCTTATCTAGGCCTAGGCTAAAAAAGTCCTTGTCAGTTGATTGTGCCAGGTACTATTTGATGCTTTCACTGAAAATCCCCCACCCCAGGCCCCCTAAACTGTTGTGCATCTAAGAAATAGAAATGTTATTCTAGTCTTGCTAATGCTTTTAATCAATAACCATTTTTTTTGCAAATGGGAATCCATGTTTCCCTTAGGAAAGTACAGAAAAAGAGAAAAAACAGTTTTGTCAGCTGCTGTGTCTGTAGGATCTTCTGTAGATTTTTGTTATATATTTCAAAATTTATGCTTTTCAAACGTGTGTCTTCTGCTGCCACTTTGTATGAATAAGGAAACCAGTGGAACCTCAGATTGGTCACAAGTCTTTTTTTTCCTTTCAGACACCCAGGCAATTTTTTTGTAAGCAAAAACACATTTACAACTTAACATTCTTATATTTGGGATGTGACTTTTCCATGCAGTCTTAGCTTTTTTGTTATGATGTGGGTGTGTTGAGAGGCACAATGTACAGAAACACCTAAGCACAAGCTAAACTTTGATTTGTCTTTCAACATAATTCTGTTTACCACCTGCATATAACTGTCATGCCCTGCAGTAGGTGTTGTATAATGGAAGACTTTCTGATTTGGTTGTTGACAGATTTAAATTACTCAATTTTTGATAGACCACTAAACACCCATATTCAGCACTTAGAAGATACACAGTTCCAAGGACACGTTCATTCCCCCAAAGAAGGAGAGCATTTTTGAGGTGCTGTGGGGGGTGTCAGGAAAAGCAGGGGTGAGATGGATCACTCCTTCAGTTGCACTTAGCTCACTAAGAGTAATTAATATAAGATTCTGAATTGTGTTTTCCAACCTGGTTGGTTGGTGTATTCTTGTGAGGAGTAATTATTACTAAACAGACAGTATGAAAGACTGTTTGACATTAGTAATAAAGGATGTGTTCACAAAGAACGTTAAGCCATATTTATCTTAATGGTTGTTTTTGCTTTGGCCACAATTTGTTTTGCAGATGAATAAATAACCTGAAGCTTGCTCTCCTTATTTCGGAACTGCTTCTCTCCCAACATATTTTGCCAGTCTTCAGAGTGATTTCATTTTCAGACTGTTCTTGCAGGGTGCTTCTGTTTCAGAGCAGACAACAGCGCAGACATTCCAAGTTGTGGTTTAGGAATTGATAAACAAGATAGACTCCCAAATCTTAGGTCCTATTTGTGGTGTATGCTGGTTAATGAATTATACCTTGTTTGCAAGGAAGGGATTCATGCATTGACTTTATTCACACAATTACAACAGCCATGGTTACATGGGTACCACAAAACATATTCAAGCACTGACTACAGCTTGTCATGTCATCTGAACACAAGGATTAAACAGCCTTTGCCATAACCCTAGAAGTGGCAATGGATTATACAAAACCCTTTTAAAAAACCCTTGTTATAGTCCCTGCTGTCTGGAGTTTGAATATTCAAAATGACCAACAACCTGTGCCACAATCTACAATGGTTTAAATAAGCAATGGCAGACAATTTGATTGTACAAAGTGACCCAATCTCAAGTCAGTTTCAACAGTCTGCACTATGGTTTAGCATTTTGTGTAAACAAGGCCATTATCTTATTTTTTTAATTGTTGCTTAGTGGATTCAGATTATATTGTCTAGTTCTGGTTCTTGACCAGAATTGAACTTAGTTTTACCAATGTAAGTAGCAAAGTTGTGTTTTCTCACCTGGTGGTGTTCTTTTCCATAGGTTAGCAAATAAGCAAGACAAAGAAGGAGCTTTGGCAGAAGCAGATGTAATTGAGTGTTTATCTCTTGAAAAGCTTGTCAACGAGCACAAATGCCTCTGTCAGATTGTGAGTGCATTTTAATAAGATTAACATCCTTTAATATGATGCTTCACAGAATTTAAAACCAGGATTGTGTAATCCCATTGTTTCTGTTTACTCTATAACTATATTTTCTTGTTTCCATGATCCTGAGCTCTTGTGGTTTTGCTGTGCTTGGTTGAAAGAGATTTAATCTAGAAGAGAGAGACTTAATGGTTCAGACTGTGAGGAAAAGAAGACAAGCCTGTACTATCCTTTGGTCCATTTCAGATGCTTTATGCTGCCACCCTGGTGTAGTGTCAATTGTTACAACAAATTTAACATTTTGGAATGCTTTACTTTTGAGATGTATTAAATGTTTTATTAAATGCAAATATCAGTACAGAAAAATAGCTTTTATTGAAGTCTAGTGAAATAAAATTAATGACAAATCTCAGAAAAGTTTCACCATAACTTTTATTCCAAGCTTTGATAAAAAGAAGAAAAAAGGAGTTGAATCCCATCTCTCTTGAATTACTTCTTTCTGCAGTCACAGAATTTGTTGGCATTTGTTGGCATTTCACTGAAACGTTTCCATCTGCTGTGCTGTGCTCAACCTTAACAAAACTTTCCTCTTTGGGCCTGAAGAATTTAGAATTCAGTTTTTCAAAGGAGTACTTCATTTATGTACTTTCTTTGTGAGCTGCCCTGAGGCTTTGTTGCGATGGGGGCAACATAGAAATGTTTTAAATAAATAAATAAATTTCAATACTACCACTCCCCTTTCCCCTGATTTTTCATAGAATATTGCAAGTTTTTCTTCAGATGAAAAATACTATCCAGGTGCTCTCTTGTTTGATTCTCAATTGAATTTCTTAGGATGCCATTTCTTCCTAATAAATGCAGCTGTAAACACTACTTGCAATTGTTGTCTTTATTATTATTATGTTACCTTTATATACAGGCTTTCTTCCTTTTACATGGAACCCAAGATAGGCTATAAAGTTATAGTAAGACTAGCCTATGTAGCTTTTCAGCCTTTGAAGCCATAGTAGAGTTGTCTGATTCCCTATTTTTTGCCATGCTAGCCTTGGAACAGGGTACTGTCACTTTGGATGGCAGCATAACTTAGTTTCAAATTGAGCTCATGTCATTGCACATATTTTTATACAGCCATAAAGCTTCAGCCTGCAAGCTACAAAATATCACCACTTTTGAATTAAATGTAATGCAACCATAAAGTTCATAGGTATTGTTCAGTTAAACGAGTGATCGTGTAATACGCTCATATGTCATTTTGTTTAAGAAAACTTCAACATTCATTTATTTTAGAATGTGATGCTATAATCACTGTGATGCTTTTCAGTCACATATGAGTTACAATGGCTATGTAGTCAAAAGAGGAGTGTTGAGAAACAAGATGGGTAGTGTCAGAAAGCGCAGGTGATCTCCAAGTTAAAAAAAAATCCTTGAGTGGGAAACCTATAGGGAAAAAACAGCTCATTGAGGACCAAGTGCCAACAGATTGCTAAGTGTGTGGCAGTAGGGCAAGGAACAGAAGACTGAATGGAGTATCTTGAAATAAAACTTGGCATATTGACTAGGCAACTGAGCAGGATCATTCCACACCATTACCCTTTGCTACAAGTCCCACTTCTATTTTTTTTAAAGTCTAGTGAATTTTTAGGAGCCCAGATCATTTAAGTAGCTCTTCTACTATTGGGAGTGAGAAAGATGGCTGCTTTGGGCACTCATTCTCAAGGACTGCTGGCTGGGCTTCTGAAGAATCAATCAGAATGTGACGCAGACCTGTGGGAAGTCTAAGAATGTGGCAAGCCAAGATTCTGAGATGATAGAAGCAGAGACATTTATCTCAAGGCAAGACTTCCCAGGTGGGCAGGAAGTCCCTGGGCATAACCAAGATGTACAGCTGGCAAGAAGGAACCCAGAACAGCGGAGTTGCTTAGACACAGACCAGGCAGCTCTGGCTCTTGATCCCATGACGTGGTATCAACTGAAGAGAGCAGTCCAGTTAGAGGATCCACTAGTGTATGGAGAGGAGGCATGCACACTTTCAGAAGGCCCCACCCAAGGGGATAGGGCCCAGGCACACTCATAAAGAGAATTCCTGGAATGATTAATAGATTGGGTTCAGCAATTCACTCTGTGCATGCTCAGAGATTCATTCAGGGTATTCTGTGCTTCTTGGTCAATAAAGAGCACTTTGCAAGAAAAGGTCTGGAACTTTTGAATGCACAAAGAAGGAACCTCAGCTCACAACATGTACCAAATCACCAAACTGAACCCTTGTACTTTAGGTTCAAAGAATGTTTGCGGGATTTGCAGAAGTAATTTCTGAAAAGCAATTTCAAACCTATACCCATGTCTATCTGGATTATAAATCTTACTGAGGTGGACCTCAGTGTCGTCAACAGCTGAACTGCACATCACCTATACAAATATTTTGAGAAATTACTTAATACTGAGTCATTTTCATTGTTCACATAGTAATTCAACAGTGATGGGAGGAGGTGGCTGTCAGTGGCTACTAACTTTACTGGCTGTGTGCCACTTCTTTTACCAAAGATGGCATTCCTGTATGTACTAATTTCTGCAGAACTTGGGCAAGCAAAGGTTTTGCATCCATTCTGCTTGAGAGATCCTGTGGGCAGCTGGTTTGCCACCATGTGTACAAAGTGCTGGATTACTTGTACCTTTGATCCAGCATAGCTTTTCTTAATTTCTTGACAACGCAGCTCGTTTTTCTCTTACCTCTAGGAGCCTTGTTCAGCTGTCATGGGCTATGGAAAAAAAATTGACAAATCTATAAAGAAGGGTTTACTTTGGCTGTTGCATATTATAGCCAAAGATTTTGATGCTTTACATGAACGAATCCAGAAGGACACTGCAGAACAAAAAGCAGCTGAAGAGCAAGAGAAACAAGAACGGGCAGAACGAGTGAGGAAGATACGGGCAGAAAGGTACCTTCGCTTTCCTTTTTGAAAGGGGTTTTTATCAGATACCATTTTTATCAGATTTTAATATTTATTTTAAACATTTGTATATAGCTGTTCACATTGCATATCAAAGTAGTATATGGCATAAAGAGAACAGAAAACAGAATATAATAGATAAAACCTTAACTACAAACTATTTTTTCTCAGTTTTAAATCAATGTGTTTTGTTTTAATGGATTGCCTTTAATCAATTTTCAGATATGATCAATATTAGAGCATGCTAGAAAATGTTGTCGAATAGCTACAAAATACTCAAAATCTTTCATTAGCCTGTCTGAAGTTGCTTTACTAAGAATGTCCTTTCCAACATGGCCATTGGCTTCTTAATGCCTACATTACGCAAAACTTAACTTTGAAAAAAAGGCATAGGTAGTATTCATTCAAGGCAAAACAGTAAGTGTCTAGATATGAATAATGACTAGATTCTCTCAGGAATTTATTAAATGCCAGTAGAACTTGCTCGGATATCACTTCAGCCACTGATTAATTTGCTTTAAACAAACAGCTATTCTTTAGCTTCACACCCACTCTTTAGAACTTGGGTAATAACACTTGCCTACCTTGCAAGGATGTTGCAAGGATTATTACCATAATGTGAAACATTACACTTGTAGTATGGTAAGGATTATAAACCAAAAAGTGGTTGTGGATTTGTCTTCTTTTATCTTTATGCACAATAATAAAGGGAACAGAAAGAGAAAGAAGAAGCTGGCCATGAAGGAAGGAGGGTTTTGGATGAAGCGGACTCTGATCTCGTAACTGGCAACCCATTCCAGCCTATTTCAACTGTAATCATGGAGGTATTGTCAGATTCATGTGTATGAAAAATCTTTGTGATAAACCACTGATTTGAGAGTATTCAATAGTAGATCTGGATTCACAATGTTGATTAAAAACCAATTGTCTCTGTCAATATTAAATCAGCATCTCACCTAATTTAATCTTAAAATCAATAGGATCCTATAGAAAGAATTTTCAGTGAAGGGCTTGCTACTTGATTCCTAACATTTTACTCTGAAGTCATTTTCTTTGATTTTGAACTGGATTTGCTTCCACATACATAAGCTTTCAATTTTCAAAGCATAGTTAACTTCCAAAGTGTGGTTCATATCAAACCTTAAGTGGTTGCCAACTTGTTTGACAAATGTTCCGAGAGTTAAGCCTGGACGATTAGATATTTGATGTTACAAGATACGTAATGCCCTCTGCCCCACCCTTATTTTAATACAAGCTGGACATCAGGAGTCTCATGTAGCTAATGCAAACAAAACCATGCAGTTCTTTGCTGTAATCATAGACAGAACCATAGACTCTGCTGTCCTTCCAAGAGTGCCATAAACCCCATTCTACAAGTTTAACCACCAGCATCTAGGGAAAACACAAGATGAGTGTTTGTTAAATCCACACAACCGCTGTGGGTTTCTGGAGAAGTTGTGAGGAGTCTCTAGGCTTAATCGAGACAAGAGAAATACTCTGATTAGGGAAGGCAGCTACACTGGATGGAGTTTTACAGATGGACTTGACCTGGATTGCAGTCCTTCTGAAGTACTAGCTGGGAATTCTTGTAGAAGCCACACTAGCTAGGGAGGCTCAAGTGGCAAGTTTTGTTCTGTTTCAGACCAGTAGGATATACCCGCTACAGCTCTATTGGAGGAGGATGGAAATTGCCTCCATCTTCTAGGCACCAACATCATGTAATGGATTCTATGTGCAGCTGCCTTTAAATACGCTTCTGCAACTTCAGTGAGTTGCAAATGCAGCTGTCTAGGTGTTGGTGTGGGGGCTAAGCAGTTGGAACAAGCAGAACTCTGTGGCATAAGTTGGCAGTACATTTCTGGGCCTATTTTCAAGAGCTGTTTTTAAACTTGAAAGGCTTAAACTACTTGAGATCAAGTTCTGAGAAGTATCATATTCCCACATGATATGATGTGTTCACACTTTGAATCATCATCCAATAACCTCCCAATATGCTCACTCAATAGAACGACTAGGCAGGCAGGCAGGAAAAATGGAGGAGATTTTACGTTAGTGGCCCCACATTTGTGGAATGCTTTCCCAACTGGAATGTATTGGGTAGTGACTGTAGTTCAGTGGTGGAGCCCCAGTTCCATATGTAGAAAGGCCCAAGTTCAATCCCCAGCATCTCCAGGTAGGGCTAGGGAGAAATCCTGCCTGAAATCCTGGAGAGCCATTGCTGCCAGTCAGTATTGACTACACTGGATTCAATGGATCAATTGTCTGATTTATTGTAAGGCAGCTGTCTATATTAAACTCCATCACTGAAGACCCTTAAAATGTCACTAGAGGTTTGTCTGTTTTTCCTTCCATTGTCTTAAACAATACCATACTGGGTTGTTGGAATAAAATGGTTTTGACTGTAATTATTTATTTAAGTTTAGTGTTTTTACCAGGGTTGATTTTTTATGTAATATTACCAGTTCCTATCAATGACATTATAGCGTTTTTGTTTTGATTTATTTTAATTTTATTTATTCAAAGGTTTTTATACTGTCATTCATTAAAAATCTTATGATGGTTCACTACATTTTTAAAGCCCTGGTTAATTCAAGCAATAAAACAATTAAAAACTCCTTAGTACAAGGAATGGTTACCATTCAGTCGTAGGCATGCTTGGGTGAAACTAATTTTCCAGACCCATTTGCAGTTGGGTTTAGCCTGGTTTTGGAACAGAATTTATCACTCTGGGATAACCTTTGCTGATGCCAGAGTGTTTGTGTCTGTTTTGGGTTGGCCTTGGAGGCTGTTTGAGGCTCAAACAGGCTGTTTGAGTTTGAAGTTCTATTTTCAGTTATTCTGCTTCTATTTGGATTGTCCATTCTAAAAGGTGATACCAGCAGATTATTGCTTTGCCTATGACACTCCACAGGGCTCTATTCCCTGTACAGTTTACGTAAGATCTACATAAAAACATTGGAGATCACCTAGAATTAGGGACTGAGGTATCACCAACATACAGGTGGCACCCAACTGTTTCTATTTTTCATTGAATCCTTGTGTTACAATGGATGTTCTGAACCACTGCCTGTGTGGAGGGACGCACTGGAAGAGGTCCACTTAACTGAGATGCAAACAAAATAGAGGTTCTATTGGTGGATGCTTCTTCTGCACAGCTGAGGGTGCTCGATCTTTTCTGGAAGGAATTTCACTCTTCATAATCATGTTCAGAACCGTTTGGGCAAGCTTTTGGCTATAATATTGTCATTGGAACGACAACTGATCTTTGTGGCTAAGAGCACTTTTTATCAACTTAGGCTGATAGACCAACTCTATCCCTATCTGAACAGAAACAGCCTTGATAGAATTATCCACGCTTTAGTAACCTCTCAGTTAGATTACTCCAATGCATTTTATATGGGGCTGCCTTTGAAAACTGTCAGCTAATCAAAAGTAAGGTAATGAGACTTGAACTGTACAATGTAATAGGCCTATGCTTTTTCTGGCTTCTAGTCAATTTCTAGAGTGAATTAAAAGTGCTAGTATTAATTCTTACAATCTGGAACAGCTTGAGGCCAGGTTACCTGAAGAAAGTTTCATCGTTTATATATTTATTTGAACATTAATGAAGTTTCTCAGATTTTTATCTGGCTGCTCAACAAATGAGGTGAGATGGGTGGCTACTATAGAATGGGCCTTTTCTGTTCTGACACCCTAGCTTTCAGTCTGTCTACTTTAAAAGTATGAGTGGTGCTTTTTAGATCCTTGTACTGCTGCTTGTCTTCTGCTATTGACTTTACATTACTTTTACATTGTTCTAGATTTTACAATGTTTTTATATATTTACATATTTTGTGGTACAACTTTTATTTCATGAATTGCCCAGAAACCTCCTGCTACTGGGCAGTATAGAAATGCAATGAGTAGTCAGTGCAATAAATTAACATTTGAATTCATTTTGGGAAACTACCTTAGGAGAACCTATACATATTTTAAATTGGAGATGGGAAACATGTGGCCTTTACAGATGGTGTTGAACAGTAACTCTCACAAATCCTAGCCCACAGAACCAGTGGTAGGTTTTGATGGAAGCTGCAGTCCATCAACATTTGAAGCACCACATTTCCCATTTCTATTTTAAGTGAATAGGTGTTGCTTTCTGTTTTGTTTGTTGATTAAATATATTTCCAGATTTGCTCATGGTAGTTAACAATGACATGAAATATATCACAAAAGCCCTCCAAAAATGAATATTAAGAAAAGTGCTTCATTAAAACTTGCTTCCTTACACTCAGACTGTTCTAGATTGTTCATTCCACCAGGAGCCAAAGCCCTTAATAGAAACATAGATTTTAGGAAGATATATAGCTGGATTCATAACTGTGACACCTTTCAGTTCAACTTGATTGAAATTATATGCATGTATTAAGGAGGGATGAAATGTCAGCTACTATGCTTTGTAAATCAACAGTAGTGATTAAAGGCTTAGTATTTCCAGCATAATAGAAGCTATATTACATATTCTGAGTGCATTATACATAGCAATTTTTGACAGAATCACCCAGTAACTGCTGTGTGCATATAGGGGACCTGAATTAGGGACACAGAAAATACCTGTACAGCTGGCCCTTAAAATAGCTGTCATTCAAACACAAAGAGTAAAATTGTACATAGCTGTTCCTTTCTAAAAGTAGAGCAACTGAATATTAAAGATTTAAATCTTCCATACTTGAGGCTTAATTCATTTTATATTATTGATGTGTGGTCTAAGTGAAAGGTTGGCATGGAGTCCAGAATACAGATTCCAAGCTCACCATGAACTGGCTTGGAGTATTTTTCCCCCCTCTAACCACATGCTTATTGTGAAAGTGCAAGAAATAATAGCGATAAAGTGCATTGTTTCATATGTGCTAGAAAATGTACTTTGCTTTGTATGAACAACTTGTGAGACATGTAATAATGTAAAATATATTTTGATAGTACTTGTAGAGTATCTTTTTTTCCTTCTTTTTGTAGTTGATAATGATTTCCCATGTTCTCTCCCTCTCCAGAAATGCTAGGTCTGCCCTACTGCTTTACTAAAGTTTTTTTTTCCTGTGTGTGTGTATGTGCACTTTGTTAGAATGAAAAGAAAATTGAAAAAGAAAAGAAGAGGCAGTGGGAAGAGAGTGAGAAGCATGCCATTGCCTTGAAAACGAATACAGATCAGGAGCGAATGGATGCTCAAAGCCTGAACAGCCAGCAATCAAACGACTGTAAATTGGTAGAAAGCTATAAATCTGCACTAACACAACAGCTGGAGCATGAAGATGAGAATGGTCAACAAATCTCAGAAAGTCTTGACTCTGGAGATAACGCCACGCTGAATTTGGGAACAGGTGGGGTTGAGTTTCATGGCCTAAAATACATAAACACTAGCAAACAGCCAGCGTAGCATGACGGTTCAAGTGCTGGGTTAGGGATCCCTAGGAGATCTTGGCACAAGTCCCCAAGTGGCCATGAAGCTCACTGGATGACTTTGGGCCACTGACTTGCTCTCAGCCCAACCTACCTCACTGCCTTTTGAGTTCCTCACAAGAGGAAGAAAGACAAGGATATAAATACAATGTAATAGCTTAAGTCTACCCCATTCATCCAAATTATCTGGTAGTCTCAGAATGATTCATCAGGCCTTCCTCTGTTATTTGAAGTAAAGCAAATTACAGTTCTGTAGATGGTCTTCTAGATTGTGGCATCCGCTTGAGAAAAGTTCTTTCCAGGGAGGCTTACCTAGTGCTTGCACTGATGTCCTTTGGTTGTTTGATATTTTAACTCACTCTGGAAATTGAAATGTAAACTACAAATTCATAAAAGAAACAAAGTTTATTGTTCAAATGCTCAGTGTTTTATGACCAGTGTTATTCCCATTTCCTTTAGAAAACACTAAAAAGAAAGCAAAGAAACTCAAATTAAAAAGGAGTCACCGAGTAGAGCCAGCCAGTACTGAAGACACTGTTACCCCACATCCTACACCAGTAGCACCTCTTGCACCAGGTGAGTAAAAGATTATTAGAACTAGTGGTATGCCAACTAATGGATGCTGTGTTATTTGCTCCTTAGGGGAAGGGTCGAGTGTAGAAAAAGTAGAATTCACATGACTTCTTTCATACTAGATATTCTAAGCACAAATCAGCTGTTGCATATAGTGAAAAATACTATTTATGTTATACTCCCCCCCACCCAAATCTTTTTGGTTTACTAGAAAAACCAAAGTTGTACCACGTCTAGACTAAATAGATGTGGTAGTGCTTTCTATACTGTGACAAATGTCTTCTTTTTTAGAGTTGGTAACTGTGGCTGGATTCAAACATGATAATCCATACTCAGGCATTATCATGCTGTATGAACCCAGCCATAGTAATAAATCATGGATTGTTAACCACAAAAAACCAACAATAAACCATGGGTTCTCTTCATGGGTTGTTTGTAGTTAATATGACCAGGTTTAGAGATTACACAACAACCCACATTTCAACAACACACATCCAACCTATTCTAAGCCTTGAATGTGAGTTATGCTGTGTAAACCTCATGTATGTGCTATTCTGATGCATTTCAGACAGTTCCCATGCAGTATATCATTTTGTACTTCAGACACTGGCTTGCAAATTTTGTATTATGTGAGCTTCACATATATTTCTAGTTGGAGTCAATATAAAAAGGAGGAAATAACTTGCTTATGTTTAATTAAAATCAGTGTTTAAATTTGTATTGAATATTTTAAACACAGCACACTTACTGGAGCCTTTTAACATCATAGATGCTGCCAACTAAAATATTGATAGTTGATAGCTTCTCCTGATAGCCCATAATGTTTATTGGACCAGCTTTTTTGTAGGTATTGGAGGCAGGGAAATCCCATTTTTAAATAAGTGCATGAATAGTTCAATGTATGCATTCTTAATCAAAAGTACAAGTCACTGACACCAATTAAATGTGCTGAATTATAGAGTTCAGATGTGTTTTCATATTATTTAAAACAATCCTGTTAAAATAGTAAGACAAAGAACTAAGAAAGGGGTTCACAACATTGGAAATAGTGCTGAGAGAATAAAAGGGTATCTTTCCCTTCTGTGTCAAAATGCTAGAACTTTTGGATTCAGTAAAGTTATTGGAAATACAAAGGAACATTTTACTATGTTCTGAAGAATCACTGCTTAATGAAGTACATAATTAAGAGAGCATAACTGTGGTCCCTGGGGAAATATTCCAGGGATTAAATGATAGTTTTGACTCCCCTTTTTGAAATCAAACATAGCATGCTGACCTGGTAAGGGAAAGTTGGAAATCCAAAATTCTACCTTTGCTCCGTTATATGCAGCTTGGAGAGAATCATTCTGTAATGTGTAATATCAGAAACTGTCTCTCTACTTCAGAGAGAGGAAAAAGGGGACATTTTTCCCCTTTGTCAGGGGAGAAGTCTGGAGGAGCCAAAGTGTGATTTATCCTGAGTCTCTTTTAGCCGCTGCCCCAAACTTTGAGAAGCCTGTCTAACAAAAAGGCAAAGAACTGCGGGCAGGCAGGCATGCAAGCAAAAATTCGCTTCACTACGCCTGCACCCTTGCCAGCCTTGCCCAGCAAGGCATAGAAACCTCAGAAGCCTCCGATTTTGTAGGCTTCTAAGCTGTGAAGGCACAATTGATTGGATTGCACAATTACAGAATAAATTGTCATGAATAACCATTAGTAACCATAATAACTAAGAATGAAAATTCCATGTGTATATGTTTTACAAGTCTTTACAGTTTACAGGTTTTACATTTGAAAACCAACTCTTACACGTTGATCTATCTGTGAGAAACGGATTGTGTCCTTCATCTCCTGTTGAACTAAATGGCCTTTTAAAATGGTACAGCAATGTAGTTTGTTTTAAATATAATAATGTAAAAATAAATATTACGAATTTCTCTCCAAAAGCTTAGATGTTTTCATTCATCTTCACAAAGATGAATGTTGGCATCACTAGAATTCTGTTTGATAATATGGTGTTGCTCTTTGATTTTTTTTCCCCTTGTAGTTGGATGGGAAACTCCTAAAGTTAACAGAATTCGAAAACTTACACCTCTTGGTGAAACTCATCATAATGGTAATTTCAGAGGAAATCACAATTTGTTGTTTGTCCTCAGAAACTTACTCCATTTTGCATGCTGGCTAATTTCTTTATTTCAACTAATCTTCTGCTGCAAGTGTTTAAAAAGATCTATGATTTTTCTAGCCTTTTCCATTTAAAGCAAAGCTTAAGCTGTGTCTTGATTATAAATTATTTCCTTCATTCGGTTTTCTCACATACAGATTATTGCTTATTGAAACCATGTCCTTTGACCACAGTTTACAATTGAACAACTCAGTTGTCATAAGGTCCCATTCCATATAATGCAAAAATGTCCTTAATTAGTACATCCCAATGAAAAACAGAAGTAGGTTTTATATATTTTCAGGTATCAATAAAATTCTAAAGTTGAGATGAACTACTAAATTATGGAAGGTGAAGGAATATCAAAAGATATCTGATTAATTAGAACCTTGTATACATAGCTTGTAGCTATTTTTCTAAGATGAGAGAAACAGAAGTTGCTAAGTGAATTAAATATATTGTTTATTTAAAGTGAATGTTTGCTCTGAATTTTATCAGTAGTACATAAAATGGCCCAACTCCTTTCAAAATAAAGGTTTCTTACAACAATATTCTATTGAGTCCCTCCTTTATTTTGTTTCCCCCTCCTCACTTTATTATGTGGCTACTAGGGAGAATTATTTCAAGACCTTTGCACAGTATCGACATATTGTTTTATTGCAGGGTATCAATTTGTTTTAAGGAGCCTTCCAATACAGCAGTATTTTTTAATAACTTGGTGGTTCGTAGTTGGAAAAGCATATACCTTACATGCATAAGGTCTTAATCATTAGTGCTTCTGTTGATAGGTGCTCATATAGAAAAGATGGGTACAAACTCATGCCAGGGACCCTAGATAGAGATGCAAACAGAGTATAAATTATTGGACTAGCTGGGTGCATGTATGAAGGCAGTTTGCTTCATATTTGCAGAAGTAATATTTTGCAAATTATAGAAACATTTTAAAGATACTTGTACAAGTAAGCATAACTATTATCTATTGCCACTATTATGTAGTATGCCTTTCAATAAATGTGTATAATAAAACCCATCTTTCTTTTTAAGGCATATAAAGAGAAGAAGGCAAGAAAGGCAGAACAAATGAGGTAGGGAAGAGAGGGAAGGGTTTATGTTTTCTGATTCTCTTTGCTCACAGAGAAGCCGCCTAATTTCTGGCTGGTACAAGGAAATGAGAATCAAACTATTATACTTGGACATGATTCTTAATTACTGTCCATCAGTTTTCCTCATGTAAAAAGTGAAACTATTCTTTTCTGGTGCGAGAACTGTTCCTGATTGTACATAGTAACCCATGCAGGTAAATTTGCTGACATAAAAATGCATGTGGCATTTGCCTTCTAACCCCCACTTCCCATCAGTCCCAGTCAGCATGGCCAGTGGTCAGAAATTATGGGAGCTGTAATTCAAAACATTTTGAGGGCCCAGGTTTCCTATTGCTGGCCTATATACCGTTTTGATTTCCACATTGTCTCAATTATTACAGTTAATGTTCATGATCTTGTATGGAATTCCTTGCATTCAGAAGATGTAATAGAATTAATGTCTTTTGAGAGCCATTTATAATGGCGTCATTGGCACTGTTCTGAACTATTAACCACAGTATAGGAACTAGTTATACAGTAGGCATTTGACAAAATTCCAAGATGTCAACATCAAAAGCTGCAGTTTCTCTACAGTTCAGGCCCTTAAAAAAAGGCAACCCCTACTTCTTTTCAAAAGCAATGAAAATGTTTGACATAAGGGTTATATACGTTATATTTCTTTGAAGCAAAAATTATTAATGTTGAGTAACTTTACTTCAGGATTCCACTCTGTTGTTCTTTTTCTGTATCAGTATAGAGATTCATAAGGTTTAGCCCCTGGATTCATGCATATTTTTAGTGTATTGTGCTTATCTGTTTTAGCTTTTTTACTGTTCACCACTCTAGAATCTGTCTAGATATGGACATTTAAATAGTTTAAATATTTTGCGCTTGGGAAACAACATAGCAAATTTCTGAACATCTTGACAATAGCCCAGAATTTATTAGCTTTTCTTAGCCAAATGTTTTTCAAATATATTTACAAGCAGAGAAGATACTTGGAAAAAAATATTTAAATATCTTGACAAATTAAAGCAAAACTTGGGAGTCGGGAGACATATATTTAACTTAATCTGTTTTCAGTGGTATGGACAGTCAAAAAAGTTCTTAAATGTTGCTTGCATTCACTTTTCTTATGTTTCCTGCTGAGCATACAAACATTTTTTTTTGTTTTCTAACTTTCTAATTTTGCATGTACTAAGCCAGCATGTATTATGCCTCTTTTTAAATGTTTGTTTAAAGACTGATGTGTATATTTTAACCTAGCAATGGTTAATCATTTGGCATAGGGGTGTCTCCTTTTCCTGTTTATGTTGGGAAACACGTTGCATTGTCTAAAATATTTCTCAAGTACTTAATTCAGAACAGTACAAACAGTTCTGGCACCAGCACAAGTGAAATGTACCACTGTTGAGGATATCTGTTTTAAATCCTAATATGGTTTACTGCTTCATAGCTGGCTGGATTAATGTGGAAAAGGAAGAGGGGAAACAGGTGCTGTGGTAGGGAATGACCTGCTCAGATTCTTATTTTCCCTTCTGGTCAGCTTGAGCTTTATGTGACTGTAAAGAAGAAAGTGTTAGTGGTGGTGGCAGCAGTAGAGCATAGCACACCAGCCTTATAGTTTTAAAACATTTAGATTTTTCACCTCTTTCCTTCCTTCAAACTACATTTGACTCTACATTCTTATGTCTAACAGATTTTGATTTTCTGTTGTCCCATTCAGTCACACTTAAATCAAGAGGCAATTTGTTATGTTAGTTTTTATGCTTGGGATAGAGTGCCTGTGGGCTTAGATTTGGTGTTCTGAAATCCAGAAGTATTTTTGGATATTATCCTTTTTTCTATAAATTATTTTGATGGCATGATAAACACAAATGTAAAAGAGAGATAAAAATATAAGTTTACATCCTAAAAAAGGCAAACATACATCTTTTAGTATTTTAACATAATTTTTACTCCCTGAAGGAAATTATGTTTTCCCACACTTGTTAAATTATCAGACATTCCATACAGTTTTCACTCTTTCCCCAAAGAATAGCTAGGCAGATAGTATGAGATGTTTAACTTGACTTCTTTCCTAACATGTTTTAGATTTCTACGGAAAGCCACTGCCTCCACTAACTATACGGCAAAGACCAAACAGCGATAGCCATGATGTCATTTCTTAACTAGCAGTTGTGTGGCAGCTTTCAAACAGCACAGTACCATGTAAAGGGAAGATTTATATTAGGCACTGTTTTTTTTCTTACTTGAAGAGACACTTGTTGGGCAAGGACACTAAGATTGCCTTGGGATCTCAGCATGGAAGATGGCTCTCATGAACTTGTCCTATATCCTTTTTGACTCACCAGCTGTTCTTTAGGGTTAACATGGAATGAGAAAACTTAAGTAGAACTCTTGGGAAATGAGAGCAAGGCTTCTCACTTGATTTCTTTGTTGAAAATGAGAATTATAACCCTGAAGAACACTTTCAAGACCAAATGCAACTTGACTGTGCACACCTAAGGACTGTTTTTTCAGTTTAGTTTAGCTTAATATTTCTGTATTCAATATTCCAAGGGTTGGGGTTTTTTTGTAAAATAAATGCATGTTCAGATGAAAATACAGACTGTACATTTTAACTATTTTTATATTTTTCTAGCATTGTTTGTTTTTAACAGAGCTATTTGGTTAACAGAAGTATTTTGAAATATTAAAGCTAATAGCTATATTCCTAATCAGGACATACGTATGTCACCTTTTTGCAACAGCAATACATTTTGCATGTGACTTGCCTTACAATTGCCTAGCTGTTGAAATGTTGATAGTTTATTGTCCTGATCCACCAGGGAGATGGCACCCACAAATGGGTTTTGACTTTTGTTTCCCCAAGCAAGAGAACATTCTAGAAGCAGGCTTTTGTGCAATGAACATGGATAGAGTCTTTAGAATTGCACTATACTAATTATGTTTTGGTGAGGCACGGTGCAGGGACGAGGCTCAATTCATTCCTTCCCTGTCCAATAGATTACTGGACTCCACTGTTCCATATGCACAGATACTATTCCTGGAATGAATTTGAGCTTGTGGAGACAAGAACTCATCATTTACACATTTATTTCTTCTAATTATACTGGGGTATGTGTTTTGATCGCTCAAATGGTATTGTACTGCAAATTATGGTGGTTTTCTTCATGGAATCCTTTGTTTGACTGCATAGTAGTATTAAATGAGCTACATATTCCAAGACCAAAAACTGCAAGAAACTAAAATCTGAATGTAACTTCTATATAGTTTATGGGAATATCTCTTGATTTAATGAAGACACATTTTCTGTAACACTAAAATTTGACTTTCTATGCTTCTTGCTCAGGATTTATGTACATAAGAAAGAATCTACAAAGAATTTCCATATGAGAAGAGGTTTCCTCATACACTTAAAAAGAGCATCCCTGGACATCTTTGTCCACTGTGCCTACAAAGCAGCCCTAGTATTAAAAAGCATGAGGAACCTTTGTTCATATTGGAGCTCACAATGTGCATTATTGCATTCTGGAGTTTGACAAATTGTCATGCTTTAACACTGTGTTGTTATTCTGTCCTGTATGTTTATATGTGTGGATTTCATTTAAAATCCTTTTACACCATGAATAAATTCCAACCCATTTAAAATCTCATGCTTGACTATTAATTCCTCTGATTATGCCTAATTGTGTGGTTGTATTAAGGATACATTACCTGAAATATATCGAATTATGTTGTGTAAAAATCAGTCTCCAATTAAAAGCCTGCCTATTTTCCTTTTTACCAGATGTTGCATGAATTTATTTTGAAAGACAAATATTTTCTCTATAGTTCCAAAAGTGCTGACAGAACCAGTTTCCCTTTCAACTCAGTTAGCAAACACTGAAGCTAAAAGGTTTATTAAGAAAACAATCACGATTCTGAAGTTAAAACTCAAGTTTTCTTGACCTGCTACTACATACGTATTTCACACATTTGTTTACAAGCTATTAAATATTTTCTGTGAGCACATTATTAAGAATAATTTATGTTATAAAATCCATATTATACTATTTATCGAGTATCACGTGTTTTCACTTTGGAAGTAAATACACACACACACCCATAGTTGAGCAAGAAATAATCCTACGCAAGTTTAGATAGAAAAAAGACCTATACCTCAGAGCATCTACCAGTCAGCCATTTAGATATATACGTAGTATGATATTCTACAAAATAAAGTCAGTCTCTCAATAATGGCAAGATCCTTCTTGTGATTGGGATGTCTGTGTAGTTCCTGACTCTTGTTCCCAGAATTGTGAGCGAGGAGGAAAAACACTGAGAAACTTTGCAAAATTGCTGTCAGGTTGAGTTCTAATGGTAGTTCTAAAGCTAGAGACAGAAGGCTGCCAATGAACAAGTACTTGGGGAGAGAGCTAGAAAGCCTCAAAAGAAACTGTTAAAGTAGGAGTGACAAAGTGTAAGCAGCAAGGTTTTCATATTTGTCACAGAGCCATTACATACTGTGACAGGTCCTCTTATAGAAGTGGCACTGTCCAGGACACTTGCTCAAACCTGTAATATGCTCATAGGTCCAAAAAAGGTTGAAATACCTAAGGACTGGCCAAGAGTCCACCTTAACAGTAAGGTACGAGTACCTGGGAAAGATTGCTGGGTAGGGGCTCCCTACTACTAGCACTCTTTTTCAAGAGTACAAAACAACTTGGTTATTAGGCTACACTTCCAGGTATGCTCATCTGGCTGCAAGTCTCAATGCAGCAGGACATTGTTGCAAATCTGTGTAAACTGGATTCTCATTAAATGAAGCAGTAATACCTGGGGTCCATTAGAATTCACCTGCTGGAGAGGCACCTTTTGTTTAAAAAAGTTCTAGTTGGGACAAGGCAATGAAATTCAACTCATGTCAAATAGGTGTGACCTTATGTTGCTAAAGCTGCCAATCACTACTTCAGATCATAAATGAGGAAAATTCAGAGAAGCTTTAATAGCTCATCCCACCTGTACTACTGGGGCTGTCTGCTACAAAAAGGCAGCCCAGATACCTTCATCCAAGGAATGAAACTTGGCAGCGCAGAATGCACAAAAGATTATTAGGGTAGCCAATTTGTGGCCCTGCATCTCCCACCAGTAAAGCAAGGAAGGAGGATGTGAGCTGTAGGCCAAAAGCCACTTGAAGGCTCACAACTTGCCCGTAAGAGCCAACTGCAGTTCTTTCTGCTTTGCACAAGCAACGACAGCAGCGGTCTTTCAGACAACCTTCCTGCGCTCTACCTGCTCTACTCAGTCAATTTGCGGCCCTTTAACTTGCGGGTGAAGGCTCGCTTTCTTAACGCTCCCTTCCCTAAAGGATGCTAGCCCAGCGCGAAACGACCTGGACTAGAACCTTGAGGTGCTAGCTTACTGACTGTGGCTTGTTTTGTATTTATTTATAGCATTTTTATGCCGCCCCCATCGCAGAAAGCCTCGGGGCGGCTTACACTTATTGACTGAAAACGGACAGCAATCAAAAGCAATGCCCCAACGGCAGTGTGAACCCCCGCAGTCCCTAATTCTAGCCGCGCGTTCTCCAGCCCCTTCTTCCGACGCAGAGCTCCTGCTACTTTCTTTCCTTTCAAACTCGGCGCGCTTGGCTAAGCCGCTGCCGCTTCCGCTCGGAAGGGCCGTCCCACCGGCCTGGCAAAGGCGCCATGCGCCTGCTCCAGCGCTTATGGCGGCTTTCGGGACTCAGGCAGTGGGTGCCGGCTGGCTCTCGGCTTAGGAGGACGCTCTCCTCGGTCAAGGGTCAGGTAAGAGCGAACCGGAGGAAGCATTTGCTCTGGCTTCTTCGCGCATCGGCAGGGAGAAACCCGAAGCCGCGCCTTCTTAACGAGCGTGGCAGAGGCTGGCTGTGCTTTGGCCGCTATTCCTAGTTCTTTCCAAAGTCTTGCGTAGATGCAGCTATAGACTTGTAATTCCCGAAGTGCAAGACTTGCTTCCGGTTTCGAGAGGTTTTAAGGTTGCCCATAGAAACTAATGGAGAAGTGCTTGCATGTTTAGCTCAGTTGCGATTGGACAACGGCTTGTCCCCCGCCCCCTCGCTGCCACTTTCCCAGCTGTTTTACAGCTGCTGTGGTGTGCCTCTAGATATTGTAGAAAGCGAACCCTGTAGTCCTTTTGTGTTCCTTCTCCAGGACATGGGGTTGCAGATAAGTTGCTAAACGTGGGAGACTTGAGAAGTCACAGTAGAGGAAAAGGGAGAAAAGTCAAACTACAATCTGGAAGTTGCCTTGGTCTGTTAGAGGAAAATTCGACAATGTCAGTGAGCTTTAACCACGACTATATCCAGAACACTTTCCCATCGAAGCAGCAAAACGATGTTCATAATTCTAGGGCATTACAAATGCAAAGCGACAGTAAAACCTACCTTAACTTAGATATTTTTGGAACACAAATATACAAGGTTTGGGTAGCTAAAGTCTCTCCTTATTCTGCAGAGATTGTAATAACTGCAGAGAAAGAAATACAGGTCACATTGTTTTTGGAGACCAAAAAGCAGAATGCCTTTTTGTAGGTTTCAGGCCATCTGTTTGCATAATCTGTATAATCTAAAAACATTGTAAGCATCTGGTGGCCCTTTCATTGACCCTAAGATTTCATCTCTACTTTCCAAATTTCAATCCCCCCAGGAAATTGAACTCTGTGTACTACATATAGGAAACATCTTTGGGCAGTTCACAACATGCCCCCCCCCCCATGTTCTTTTCAGGATAAACACAGGGTTGTATCTTGACTTAATTGCCTGTGCGGTAGATATGTTAAAATCGATGAGACTTAATGTAGTTGTGGCTAACCAGAGACCTAGTTGTCTTCGGTTGTCCTCTTCTGGATATTGTCATTTCCATTTCTATAAGTGAATCTCTCTGAGCCTCTCATAACAATTAAAAACATAGACAGAATAGTAAAAATGGATACAATGAAAACACAAATACAATAAAAAGCAGGACAAAATTCCAATATGAATGAAGGGCCAAATTCCAAACAGTTTAAACAACTAAAACAATGTTGGTTACAACAGCTGACCTATCCTATCATATGCCATTCAATGCCTGGAAGTAGAGATCTGAAAAGAGGACAATGTTAGCACCTTCTTCCTTGTTGCCTCCCTCCAGGCCTCCCTTGGAGGTGGCAGGCTGGGGAAGACCTCAGATCAGAGTGTCCGGGTAGACTGAGGTCCAGTTTGTCAGTGTTAAAACATGGTACCCAGAAGTGGACAAAATGCCCAAGATAGTTCCTGTTCAGTGCAGAATAAACTAGTATTATACTTCACCTGATCATGTGTTTGCTGTGTGAAGGGACAAAATACGTAGAAAGGGGCTGCCAGCTGCATATCTGGCCCCGTTCCTAACCACACTTTGTTCCACACCACACATTAGCATGGGTGCTTGAGTTGGAGGAGCTTTCATGTCTAGGTCTCTATGGATGGAAGCTTGACTGAGTCTGGGACCGAAATGAACTTCCATAGATAGAAGCCTCCACACAAAGGCCGTGCACAATGGAAGGGGGCTGTGAACCAGAATGTTGGCAGGGGTGAAGCTGGGGGCACATCTTCAGGGCCCGTCATTGCACACTTTGGCCCTTCAGTCAGAGAGTTCTTAATGTGAAGGGGGCTTATTACTTCTCATGTTCTGATCTCGGTTATCTGAAAGCTTCAAATTTGGATCTTCCAGACTCTTATTCCCTTAACTGCTGTACCACACCGGATTAGGTCAAAGTCAAATGGAACAGATAATCCAGTCTGTTATTTTACAGACTTTGTTATTGTTTTGCATTTCCAGACTATATTGGGAAATTATTTCAAAATGCATAATTTGACCCTCAGATACATAATTTGACCCTATATCATTATTAGGTGAGGCAGAAAAGGACCATCTTCACACATCTTTTGAACCAACCCCTGGAGATGCCATGCGATTTTAAAAACATAAGCTGTTTGCTGAGTTGAGAACATTTTAAAGTTTAACTGAGTGTAGTATTTGGCTAATTGGTATTCATGTATACGTTTTTATCATTTTCTCTCCAAGCTGAGAACAGAATCAGAAGCAATGCTTCGAAAGCAAATATGCCAGGTTGTTCTCGATCATTTTGAGAAGCAATACTCCAAGGAACTGGGAGAAGCATGGAACTCAGTCAGGTCAATTTTTGTTTCTTTCTCTCCTGTCTCCCCCACTCAGCCCCACTGTTCCTCCACTTCAATGCTTCATAAAATGATTATATAGAAACAGCTTCACAATGTGCAAACAAGTGTAAAACTTTTCGAGTTCAATTCTAGGCAAGTTTGGACAGGAAAAAGTCTTGACAGCTGCACTAATCCTCAGCCAGCCAGAAGTTGTAGACTTTTTCCTGCCTAAACATTCTGCCCTGGATGTATTGTTTCTCTCCGTATAAAAAATGAATGTCATATAAGAAAGAATCTGAAGAATAGCTAGGGTAGGGATGGTTAATTTCTGTATTCTTAGGTACCATATAGAAGTGGGCATCTTCTAGCTTTAGAACTGCATATGGCCCTCAGACTAATTTCAAAAGCCTTCTGCATGCATTCAGTTCAAATTTCTGGCAAGAGTAATCTGTCCCTTTCCCAGCAGACCTCTGTGCAGAAAGGAAGAAACTGCAGAAAAGGGTGACCCATCCACTTTTGCTTCTGGATTCGCCCACACACAGATTGGCCCTCAACAGGAACGAAAAAATGCTCCCACTGTAACTGTAATTTTTGGTCAGTGGACCAAGGTTGGAGGTGTATTTTGCTGTGCATCTTAGCCTCATAAGTTCTCAGGTGTCATCATAAGCTGCAGAATATCTCCGTACAATGTGATTATTTTTCTTATGAAATAATAGTGTACCAAAAGTGATTTGGCCCTGTCAAAGGAGTCCATGGAAATAGTCCTTTGTTCTGTTGTCCTAGCACTGTCTCCTGTATTTAGTTATTAATTTTATACTCTGCCTTCTCTTTAAATTGCTCAAGGCAGCATACGTGGTATCCTCCCCACTCCCCTTTTATCACAGTGGTTCTGAGATTGACTGGGTGGAGACACTGTGATCAGCCCAAGGTCATGCAGTTTCGTAATTGGGTCTGCCCAGCCCTGGTTCAAAATCTCTTCGGCAACTTGGTGCCCTTTGGCTGTTTTGGATAAACTCTACTGTAATCCCTGTCAACAGTAGTGGGATCCTTGCAAGATGAAAAAATGGTAGGATATAAAAGTAATAAAAATAATCACAGTGGTGATGATTGCAGACTATTGGTTATGCTGGCTCAGCTTATGAGAGTTAGAAGCCAAATATCTGGACACTAACCTAAGCCTGCACTACTACAACCACCCAGAATCCCATGTAGAACTGCTGGGAAAGGGAAAGTAATTGGATGGCAGGGATGGAAATACACCATGATTTCCCTCTGATTGTGAAGCCACTTTCCAGAATCCTGATTAAAGATTGCTCTGACACACATTGTCTCAAACCAGAATAAAAAGTGGATGCAACATGATTTTCTGCTCTAGCCTTTTGATCAGTGCACTGCCTGGAATGATGACACTGAAAATTGTATTTGCGTGTAACTCAGTTATCTGTGCCCCACCATTTTAATTTAAACCTTATCTGGATCAGCCCAAGTGCCGAACTGCTTCTTTGTCCTTTCGTATGATGTGTTGCAGCTGTTGCTCTATATTTGTGCACATCTGTATGTAAAATACAGCCAATAACATGTATATCTTTTTTCTCCTCTCCAGGGAAGTACTTACAACACCCCAGTGGTGGCAGTACGCCGTCCTCCTTAATAAATTCAATTTTTCCTCTGCAGTGGAGAATGATTTACTTTCGAAGGGCTATCGCCTCCTTTTCCCAAGAACCTCGCCCTCTTTTCTGCAGTCACTCAAGTGCTACATCACTAGCACACCTGGTAGATTCCCTGCTCAGAAACACAGAGCTGGTAAACTGAAGGAATATTACTTGCTGAATGCCGCGTCGGTGCTGGCAGTGTTGGCTCTGAAAGTAGAGAAGGGAGAGAAGGTTTTGGATATGTGTGCTGCACCAGGGGGTAAATCAATAGCAACACTTCAGTATGCTTTGCCAGGTAAACCACTCTGCTCCTAAACCAATTAGAACACACACAAATTGGCTGCTAGATTGCTCAAATAACCCATTAAGTGTGTTATTCAGAGGCATTCATTAAGAAAACTCTGGTGGTATCCTTCTCCCCACTGTAGTGAAAAGCCAGCACATCAGGAACTAATTTCTGTTTCAAATGCAATCTGCATATTATGCCCTTGCTGCCCGGCACCAATTTTCTTGCGCATTAGTTGAAAGCATATGAAAAGATGTGTTCTACAGTCCTCTGATATTTTCATCTCTTCTCTGTGATACTTTGGTACTCTAATTTTGCAAGGTCAGCTAGAGAGAAAAACAAAGCAATCTCAGTGTGCTCATGAGGTGCAGTGCAGATACACGAAAAGGAAACGCAATAAGATTCTATGGAGATTAGGTTATCAATCACGGGAATGAATATGTTTCAGGAAAGTTGGAAGGAAATCAGTGAGCATTGCATAATAGCTGCAAGTCATTGTGGAGTTCACAAGAGTCTAAGATGGGCTGAGCAACCTGCAGCCCTAGAATTCCTTTTAGATTTCTCAAAAGTCCCTCCGTGAGATCCGTCCAGAGCTCTGACAGAAGTGATCTGTTCCTGCCCTGGCAAACTGCTGTACCCCTTTTAGGTTCTGGTCCTACCCAGTCCTGGTTTCAGCCCAACTCACCACTGGTATGGGTGCCCCAACAATGACCATGAGGCATGGCAGCTCTCAAGACAGAGAAAGTTGCCTATCCCCATGGAAAATGCCCATCAGTATTCCAAATGCAAATTTACCTTAAAAACTACTCTGGGGATCTGGCAGAGGTAAAAGGACTGTGTGTGGCAGCGTTTCAGGGAGAAATGACCGGTGAATTAATTTTTCCTTTTCATCCTACCTCTTGTTTGAAATAAATGCTCCCTTCTCAAGGGTGCTTTTCTTGGTTACTCGTGGCTCTAGTATAAGATGTAGTTTGGCATTCTTGAATACTTTTTCCTGCCATGAAATACATATGTTGAGAACTTCACTGTTGATCACTGTGGCATGGCACGTGTCACATCTGAGCATGGCAAGGGGGACCTAAAGTGCCCCTAGTTCTTGCCATTCCATTGCTGCCTTTAGCTCTTGTTTCTCATTCCATAGGTATTGTTCTGATTGCATATTTCGGGGCTTGATTTGATTTATTTATTATATTTCTATGCTGCCCGGTAGCAAAAGCTCTGGCTGTTACACAAAAGTTAAAATCTCCGAAATGCAACCTGATGAAATTCAATTCTAAAATACCTGTACTGCATTGTTGTAAACTGCCTGGGCAGCTTCAACTGTTGGAATATGTTCCCTGCAGAGACCTACCTTGCTATCCCTTCAGAGTCAAGTTAACCCTATGCTTTACCACAAGGCATTTAATTGGTTTAAATTGGTTTAACTGGGGCTTTGTTAGCTGCTTAACCTGGTCTCAAGATTTACATTGTATAAGTCATTGTAACATTTTATATGAGTTTTCAGTTTGGTTATAAAACAAATGTATGGTGACCTTGTTTTTTAATGCTGTTTGTATTTTATATTGTATTTTATGTATTGTTGTAAACTGCCCATAGAGCTTTGGCTATTGGGCAGTATAGAAATTAAACGAACAACACCAAGCAGCAGTAACAACAACATAAGTGAAATAATGCTAATGTTTATAATATATTTAGGCCTCCTACATTGCAATGAATATGATTATTTGAGATCCTGCTGGCTGAAGCAGACGCTAGAATCCTTCATCCCAGAATCACAGATGAGCCTAGTCACTGTTTCTCAGTTGGATGGAAGACAAATTGGGAACTTGCAGCTTGGTGGATTCGACAAGGTATCTTTATAATGGCTGATCACTCATGAGGCTCCAACATATTCTTTTTCCCCCACTCAGGCCCATGCAAGCCATTCAACTTAAGCTTGCTGTTGTGTGTAAGTCTCACCCACCCCTCTTTTCTGCTTTAGCAGACTGAGATGAGACTTTAGAAGCACAGCCTTTCTATTAAGGCCTAACAGGTTTCAAAATAGTATAGATCATGCTTCCCCAATGCTGTGCCTTCCAGACACATTTGGACTGCAATACCCTGAATTCCCAGTCAATGTCCCTGCTGGATGAGAATTCTGGAATTTGCAATCCAAATACCTCTGAAGGCCACCAGGTTGGGGAAGGTTGGTATAAATAAAAGAAGTGTCCTCCTCGAGATGTGGGAGAAGCATCTGCCCTTGTAAAAAACTGAATTCAAGCTATGGTTCATAGACTCATAGAATAGAAGAGTTGGAAGGGGCCAAGAAGACCATCGGGTCCAACCCCCTGCTCAGTGGAGGACACCAAGTTAAACCATTTCTCTCAGATGGCTTAGTTGCATTTTGAATGCCTCTAGTGTGGGAGAGCCCATGCCCTCCTGAGGCAATTGGTTCCATTGTTGTACTGCACTAATAGGAAAATTTTTCTGATATCTAGCCAGAATCTGGTTTTCTGTAACCTGAGCCCATTATTCTATGTCCTGCTCTCTGGGATGATTGAGGAGAGATCCTGTCTTCCTTCTTTGTGATAGCCTTTCAATTACTTGTAGAGTGTTACCATATCTCCCCTCAGTCTTTTCTTCTTGAGGTTAAACATGCCCAGTTCTTTCAATCTTTCATAATAGGGCTATGTTTCCAGTCCCTGGATCATATTTGTTGCCTTCCTTTGAAACCTTTCCAGCTTGTCAGTATCTTTCTTAAACTGTGGTACCCAGAACTGGACACAGTGCTCCAGATGAGGCCTAACCAGTGATGAGTAAAGGGGAATCAGTACAATCATTTGGACATGATACTTGTATTAATTCAGCCTGAAATAGCACTTGCCAATTTTGCAGCCACATCACATTGTTGACTCATATTCAGCTTGTGATCTACAGCAATTCCAAGATTCTTCTCCTTTGCCCTATTTTTGAGCCAAGTATTCTGTATCTTGTAGTGATGCATTTCTGTTCTTTTTCCTAGGAGCAGAACTTGGCATTTGCCTCTATTGGATTTTATTATGTTGCTTTCAGCCCAGCCCTCCAACCTATCAAGATCACCCTGAATCTTCTTTCAATCTTCCAGGGTATTAGCTAACCCACCCAGTTTTGGGCCATCTGCAGATTTGATAATCATTCCCTTTGCTTCTTCATCTGAATCATTAATCAAAATGTTGAAGAATACTGGTCCCAGGACTGAACACTGTAGTACCCCACTTGTTTTTTTACCTGGTTTGAGATGGTGCTACTGATGAGCACTCTAAGTCTGTTCCTGTAACCAGCTGTGGATTTACCTGATCATTGTTCCATCTACGCGACTTTTCACTACCACCTTCATAGTCAGAGATTCACCTGGAATATTTTTCTTTTCCTGTCCATTCCTCTTGGAAGAAAAATTCTCCAGGCGAATGGCTGGCCTCTTGGATAGACCAGAAGGATTGAAGGGAAACCATCCAGTCCCCAGAGTTCCTGACTTTCCTCCCCAAAACTTCAAAGTCTGATGTGATTTATTCAACTCTCCACTTGGCAGTGTCATTTATTCCCACATGTGTAAGAAGGAAGGGGTACATGTTTGTAGGCTGTATGAGACTTTACAGTCTTTCAGTTATATTACTAATCTGTCCTCCAGGGAGAAAGTATACCTGAGGAGTCCACAGGTCATCCTGACATACATGTGTTTCCATCCCACACACTGCAGGGAGTTTCCCACAGCTAACTCTCTTCTTGTTCTTGCAAGCCTTGGTATAATTAGCTGACCTTTAGCCTCTTGTTCAGGGTTGCATGGGATGTCTGCTTCTTCCACAGCAGGCTGCCTTCCACTCTCAGCTTTGAGTAACTCACAGCAGTTCAAGAGTTCCACTGCTTCCACTGGTGGAGAGTATCTTGTAGTTCTTCTGCACATAACTGCCACTGCTTTCCAAGGAGTTTTTTCTTCATTTTGCTTTCCCTCGGGATTCTTGTCTTCTGCTTCAACTTTCCATGGCACTTCTAGCTGCTGTACTACCCTTCGCTGTTGCAGTTCCAACACTTTGTCTAAAACTACTTCATTTTTTTAATTATCTTGAGGGGGGATACTCACTTTTCTTCTAACAGGGCCACTAGCTTGCACTCGTTGCACATGTAGGTCATGTTGACCTCAAGCAAGAAAAAAAAGAAAACATTACACAGATGTTGCAGGTGCCCACCACTGGGGAGTCTTCTGGGTCCATTCTTTCTGCTGCTTTTTTGATTCTGCCTTGTTGGGCCTGTTGTAACAAGCAGTGATGTCTTCCCAAAAGGTTAACAATGAAGTCCTACAAGTAAATGGGTGTGTGTTACAAAGAAGAATTAAGTGGAAGAAAGAAGAAACCACCCCAGTCAAACTCCTGTTTTTGCTCCCTGTTTGTTTGCTCTGCTCGCTCTCTGGGAGCTTGGCTGCTTGTATCCCAGAGTCCCTAGACCAGCTGTGGCTTCTTCTTCTGACCTGCTCACCTTGGAATCAGGAACCGGAATGAATTTCCCTTCCTGCACAGTTGCTGCTAGAAATCAGGCCACTCCCTTACAATTGCAGCGCTCAGGAGCATATAGCCTCTTAAAAGTTTGAAGCAATCCTCCCTGGAATCCACCCCTCTTCTCTTCATCAAACTTCCTCTTGTGCTTCAGAAATAAGCTGAGCCAAGAGGAAGTCCATGAATGCTCACAGAACTCTGGTTGTGCAGCCAGGAACCACCTTCTGCAGGATGTGCAGAACAGGCAAAGCCACAAGTCATATGCATGGAAGAGGGATGGTTGTTCCTTCACCCTGTGAAAAGTGACGCAAATAATAGTACACAACTGTTATTTATTAGTTACAGGTTTAGCCTTTATTTAGAAAGCTGAGCGCCTATCCAGGGATAGGTAAGTACTTCAGAAGGCATCTGATCCAGTTTCCTCTCATTCCAAGAACTCTCTTACTGTGGTTATCCAGTCTTTGCAATATGTGCAGTGAAGCAGAGCCCACCACTTCCCAAAGCAGTCTGTTTCACCATTGAACACCTCTTAGCACTAGGACATTTCTCTTTTATGTTTCATCAAAATCTGCTTACTCACAATTTCTATTCATTAGTCCTAGTCCTGAACAGTTCTGCTCCATTTTCTGCATGACAGCCCTTTAGAGATTCGAGGACCACTCTGATGTCTTGCTTTAACCTTTTCATCTCCTGGCTAAACATCTTTTCACCATCCTTCATAGGACTTGTCTTACAAATCTGTCGCCAACCCTGTCATCCTTCTCTGGACACAGTCCAATTTATAAATGTCCTCCTTAAAGTGTGGCATCCAGAATTGAACACAGTACTCCAGAAAGGGCCTCCTTACCTCTGCAGAATGGAGTTTGGAATTGTTGCTTGTGATCTGGATAATCTGCTTCTGTCAGGGCAGCTGAAGAGTGCATTCACTTTTAGCTAATGGACCCATTGTGTTCTGGACCCACAAAATGATTTCTTTTTAATGTTATCAATTATTTTACTTTAAAGTGTAGACTACTTTTCATTGGGAAAAGTAACTGGTGATTTTCATGAGGGTGTTGCTTTCAGATAATGTCTGGGGAGGGGGCCTGTCTGAACTACAGTTCTGTGTCCTGTTCCTGTACTGAAGCAGAGTCCATGCTGAAAATCCTGGAAAAATGCAGAACAGCTATTTAGGAAACAATAACTAAAGAATCAAGGTTAAAAGCGAGTGCCCAACATATACAAAATATTGGGGAAATTAGGAAAATGTGACAAACATTAAATTTTAAAATTGCTGAGCATTAGAAATGGTAGGCTAGCTAACAACTAAAAGGGCATTTTTGAAGGATAGCCATGTTAGGCTTTGCAACAAAGCCAGCAAAGGGCCGTGTGACACCTTAAAAGCTAACAAATGTATTCTGGTGTAAGCTTTCATGTGCTATAGGCAACTTGATCAGACACATAAGTGGCCATTGCTCATTAATTTTCCCATAGGATTATAAGAAGTTGTCTTCCTCCAAGTCAGACCATTGATCAGTCAAGCGTAATATCGTCTTCATTGACTGGCATGGACTCTCTGGGGTTTCAAGAGTCTTTCCTAGCCTAGCTGGAGATTCCAGGAATAGGAAATGGCTGCAAAGCATGTGATGCAACACTGAGCCACTGCCCCCCCACAATGGGGCATGGAGTGTCAATAAATATTTTAGAAGTATGTTGTACTTCCATAAATATTCATCGAATACAAGGTTAGTGATTTTTGCATTCATATAAGTCACACAGAAAGCCTGACATGGAATAAGATTTCTTTCATTATTTGTTGCTATTGTTAATGGGAGCACTTGCATATCAATGTAACATTTTTTCCTGTCTGTAACATGAGCAGTTTTCATATGCATTTTTATTATTGATCATTCAGGTCCTCGTGGATGCTCCATGCTCAAATGATAGAAGTTGGTTATTCTCTTCTGATTCCCAACGGGCTACCCTGCGATTAGCACAAAGGAAGGTATTATCTGCTGTACAGACACAGCTACTGAGGTAAGAAGTGTGCAGGGAAACCAAATAAAGCTCGGTAATGGCCAGCCCTGGATTGAAGGACATGCTAAATCATATTCTCCGGCTCTGCATCTGTCTGGTCCTTGTACTCTCCTCTCCGTATGCACTCACACTGAGCCAGTCATCGTTGAAAAAGGCAGAGAGCTCTCCTGTCTTCTCCGGACAATTGCCTTGGTGTGTAGAGAGGCCCATTCTGCTCTTCATGCTGAGCGATAGGCTTGTAACTAGGACATTTTGCAGCAGGTGGAGGAATAGAAAACGGGGAATGTATCCTGATAAAAACATAATTCCTGAAACCTTTTAAAAACACTCCTGCATAAAGGCCAAACATCTCTGTGTTGTTTCCTTATAGCTAATAATTAACAACTTGGCAATTGTGGAAGTTGGAAAACATCAAATGTCTATTCATCTAAGAACAATTCAAACCCAAGAAACAAATTGATGGATCCAGAAAGATTTATTTTGTTACAGGAGATGAAAGTAAATAGAGGTAGTTAGTGCCTACTTTATTAAAGGTTTGCTGCAGCCTCTTGGTCAACTACCACAATTTTACCCTTTTCCACAATATGATATAATGGATAGAATTTCACACTTGGACCAGGGAGATTTGTTTTCAAAGCCCGTTTAGCTATGAAAGAATAGAGGAATATAAAAAAGTGGCTTGATACGGACTGAGACTGCTGGGTCCACCTGGCCTAGTTATCACTGGCTGGCAGTGCCTTCTGGGTTTAAGGCAGGTTTCCAAGCTCTACCTGGACACCCTGGATTAAACCTAGGATCTTTTTCATGCAAAGCATGTAATCTTGTGTTGCTGCAACCAGATATCACATGGTCAGGATAGTGACCTTAACCTCCCCCTGGGGAAGGCAGTCATGCCTTTTGGCCTTACTTCTTTGTCTCCACCAAATGATTGAAACATAGAAACAGAGCGAGTCAGAAGGGGCCTCCCAGGCCATCTAGTCTGACCTCCGGCTCCAGCCAACTCCGCTCATGACATGCCCACCATGTGCATGTCCAGCCTATCTTTGAACACCCTCACTGATGGAGCCTCAGTGACCTCCTGTGGAAGACCATTCGCTGTAGGAAATAAAAGGATGAGGCTACGGAGTGAAGTTTTCTCCCACTTCTAAAAGGTTGAAGTTCCTTTCCTAAGGCTTAATTACTGGCAGTAAAAACTATAACCTAAAATCTAAAGCTTTTCTTTGTTGCCTTGTCCTGTTCTGCCTCTATCCATGCCCACTACTGGATTGTAACCCCTGAGAACCTCTGCCTTGTGGGAATATCCTTATTTACTTTTTTGGGGTTGTAGTTTTGCTAAACATTTGTTCACTGCTGACCAAAGCTTCACAATTAAGGGTAGAAACCTACATGCTTAGGCAGAAAAAAGTCCTGCAGCTCCCAGAATCCTTCAGAAGTGACTTACTTCAATTTCAGTCTGAGCTCAGGAAAGCCCGCAGTTTTGGATTAAATTGCAGTCTCTGCATTGTATTTTATAGAGACAAACAGAAATGACTGGGAAGTTTAACTGTAGAGCCATATAATATGATAAGGATATTAGAAGGGGGAGCAATGAGTGAAGCAAGGTTCTTTGTTTTGTTTTTCTTTTCCCCAGTCATTTTCTCCTGCAATATATTATTTTATGGCTATTGATGAAATACTAAAGCTTTTTAACATGGTGCTATGTTTCACCTCAGAAGTATCCCAGCTGTCAGGAAGAATTGAGAGAGAAATAAAATAGTTTGTTTTCCTAAAAGTAGTGTTCTTTATGGAAAGCTCATATAATGGCAGTGCAAGAGAAGGTGAGGTATGTGTGTGTGTGTTTTGCATGACTTCCTCAGGAAAAGGTCTAAAGGAAGTGTGTGATTTATAACTGAAATATGAGTGTCTTATTGCAGTAATGCATCATGTCACTCGTTTCCTTTGGAGAAATCAATCACATTTAAAACACTGACCTCCCTCAGTGTTCTCTTTCCAATATTTGACATATGAAATCCAATTTGTGAACTCCTGGCTCAAGGAAGCATACATCATTCAGTGAAATTTTTGCAAATTTGTATAGATCATTCTTGATTATAATTCTGAAGTGGAATATTCTTGACAGGAAGAACCTTGTTGGTAGAGAAAAATCCAAAAAACCCAAATTTGCCTGTCTCCCCAATATACACTTAATCCATTTGAGCCTCTGATCTAGAAGAGAGAGAAATTGTGTGTTTGATGGAAGTATATAAAACTAGGTAAATGATAGTAGTTGCAAAATAATAACTTTTTCACTCTAATTTAGAATATGAATTCAGTGGTCCACTGCATGCTATTCATAAATAATGACATAAATAAACAGATTGATTAATCCATTTATTTATCTTTTTTAAATTTCTACCTTGGCTAAAACTCATTAGAGTGAGTTATCTATGCTGCAAGATTAGTTAATAAAACCAATCCAAACCAGCAATGCACAATCATTTTTCCACTTTTTTATTGTTTGCAGCAGTCCTCGAATAAGAAACATAATGCATAGCTTAACTCTTAGCATTAAGATACATTCGGTTCTCATCTTGAACAGATTGCTCTCCCCCGTATTTCCTGGTTTATAGTAATTATAGTTTTGTATTGCAGCTGAATCCAACAAACTTTGGTTATAACAAACAAGATCTTACCTTTAACCCAGAATGGAACTGTAGGAATTGGATTTCCAGTTACGGTTTGGCGACAATTATTCTTTGTATTAACTATAGGCTGCCCTACTTAGATGGTATGGCAAAATATAGTTATAGTTATAACTAACTTAGATTTCATGTCAAAGTTGTAGTTGCAAACCAGGAAGTGGGGAAACATATTGGAGCATGTAAGGGAAGAAGGGATGGAGAGATAGCACACCAGTCCAAGGCAAGAACAAATGGAACAAGCTTTGCCCATAATGTATGAACAGGGCTAAGCAAACTTTAACTTGTGTAGTGAACCATAGTGATTGAAAGGCTGATGTTCCCACATTTTCTGAATTGTTTCATGGATCAGATGTAGCCTGGTGAACGAGAGTAAGGCACATTGTGCAGAAAAGTATCCTATAGGCTTTCAAACACTTTTGCCTTTGAGCAACATTTTATTTTCAGTTTGGGCATAATATGGCATCATTTATGTCTGGTCTGAAATTATGAAAAGGACACCCCTGTTCATGCATTCAGTCCTGCTCCCCCAAGCATTTAATTGCCTCCCCTCTCCCCCCCCCCCCCCACACAATTTCAGTCACGTGAGAGGGAGAGTGGGGCTGTGTTTGTTGGCCCTGTTCTCCCTGTTGCCCCTTCAGTGGCCCACCCCCTTTTCTTTTCAGGCACTGGAGAGGAGAGGTCTAAACTGGGCCGTCTGCTCCATGCATGTGTTAGGGTCAGGGAGCATGGCTTTTGCTCTTTCTGTCTCTCAATTGGAGTCATGGGAATGAGGGGTACTGAACACCCAGCTAAAGCATTTGTGTTGTGTTGTATTATGTCAGATATTATAGGAGTCTAAATTAGTGTCTGCACCTCTAAATAGTTTCCTGATCAAAAGTAGGACAGTGTACAGGGCTACATGAACAGCTGCACCACAAGGGTGTTTTCTCTTCTGCATGAGTGTGCAGAATTTGAGTGCCCACTCAGATTAAAAATCTGATTATGTGGAGAAACTAAATAAGGTGAACTGGCCTTAATGGTGATAGGATAATTCACTTGTTTGTACAGTGTGCCTGTGACTTGTCACTGTAATCCATATCTTGCTTATTTCATGCAAAATCTTACAGCTAATTAAAGGAGGTATAATTAGCCTAATTTCAGGCAACCCTCTTCAGATGCTGTAGGTCCCCTCTTGGTCTTCAGACTACACCTCTTGAAATCACTTCTGCTTTGTGTGCATGTGTCTGTGAGAGAGAGAGAGAGAGAGAGAGAGAGAGAGAGAGAGAGAGAGAGAGAGAGAGAGAGAGAGAGAGAGAGAGAGAGAGAAGTACCTCTTACAAAATAAATATGGGTTGGGGGAGAGAATTGACGCTTGGTAGAAAGCTGCAGAGTTGTAGGGAAAATCCAGAGGGAAAGGAGGACAAAACTGGAAGGGATTGTTACACAGAGAGGAAGGGGCATCCGGTAAGTTAATACAGAGGGAAGTGACACCATTGCTGCAAATGCAACCTAGTTTTAACTCTGGCTTCATCCTCCATTGGATCTGACTTCAATCCATCGTTGACTTTGGTACTGCATTGCCATTTCCCCTGGATCAGTAGCCCTTCCTAGGAAAATGATTTCTCAGCCCTTCTTTATTGCAGTTGTTTTGGACCAAAGTCTCTTGTTGATCTTCTTGGCCAATGTTCCAGTCACCCATTGTTTCTAGTGTTGGATAGTATCCAGAATTCTATTTGTATAAGAAAGCACTTCAGCTCATGCAAAGGAAGGATCTTCCATTTCTGCAGGTTTTTAGCTCCCTATATCTCAGCTGGAATAGCCCCCAGCCTCATCCCACATGCCCATGTGGATGGTGGCTTTAAGGGGAACACAAGAGTCTTCTGTGGAATGGAAGGTAAAGGAAAACATCGTATCATGAGTGGAAATTCACCTATGGTAAAGTATTCACCTATGGTTCACCTATGGCTATCACCCTCCCCATGTTCTTCACATCACTATAGTACCTTTATTCCATTGACATTGGATGCCTTGATAGTTTTTTCTGCACGAAGAAATTAAAATGCATGATTCCCAGTCCCTGTTATTTCACAAATCTTATCTCAAGCACCACCCTCTCAATTTTGCAATCTATTTTTAAATTCACTGAGATTTTTATTGATACAATTGGTCAGATTCAGTGTTTGATGAACGAGTGGGGAGGAAGCAAAGCTTACAAACATGGAACTGTAAAAAATAAATGAGACATAAAAGTAAAATGAAGAAAAAGAGTGCTGGTATAAATAAAACAGTCTGTGCAAACGGTTAGGAGAATATGCCAAACTATAGCAGACTAAAGAATGCATTTGAAATGTGGGGTTCTGGAGGTTGTGGATGACAAAATAATTGGGAGAGAATATGGCACCTGTTAGGATGATGAAGCAAGTTGTAGAGGCTGTTGGTAGGCGTGTTGATTATACAAGTCATAACCGTGCCTTGTTGTGTCATCCAATACTGGTGTGGGTGAGTTTTGCAAGGTCTATAACTCTAAAACACACAGTGTTTTCTGCAAGGTTATTTAATGCTTACACAACCCTTCCCTGCTGGGTTCAGATGACATGGCTTGAATTTTCAGGATGGCACTTATGGGTGCCGTGTCTCATTGTAACTTTAATAAGCTATGAGTTGTGCCGATGCTGTGAACTCAAGTCATTCTTCCCTATATTCCAAAGACTGCAAATATATCTTGTAACCTGTGTACCCATTTGTGTCTACCATTCCCTCTTTCCCCATGTCCACTGCCCTTAAGGCTAGGATTTGTTTACTCGCTTTAACCAAATAGAAATAGCCAGCAAGTACCTTCCGTGTCAGCTGCAAGGTGGGCAAAAGGGAATCCATGCACAAATTCCCAATTCTGAAGTTGGAGTGATTTTTCTGACCTCGGAGCTGGGAAACTGAAAAATCCTGTGGCTGTCTAAATGCTGTCAAGCAGCCATAGGTCTGCTCTGCTAATCAGCTGATATTTTAGGTGTTATATTTATTAGTCATCCAGTAACATTTGTTCTCTGGGTGATGAGCAGCATGGGTTAGAAAATTCAAGTTTAAATGTTTATTTAAAAAGTAATTGGTCTGCATAGTTTTAGAAGTTATTTCTCAACTTATGTGAACTGCAAATGCCATCTTAGAAAAGGCATTTTCTTTTCTCACACATAAAGGAGGAATAACTCTTCTAAGGCAATGCCTGTATGACACTTCTTCAATCTATAGAAAGAAAATGTTTCTTGCTTCAGAAATAAGCAAGAAATAAGCCCTAAACGGCTTAGGACCTGGATATTTGAAGGAGTACCTCCTTCCATGCATACCCCCTCCCCCCATGATCTGGATCGGAGGTCCTTCTTTAGGAGTCCTCTTTGAAGGAGAATGGAAGAGCTCCTTCCAGCCATTGCAAGCATTTCAATCTAGCATAGGGTTCTGCTGGAAGACAAGATGGGTGAGGCCGTTTTTCCTGATGTTTTCTTTCTTCTATAGGCCATTCCATTTTTCCAGTGCTCCAGAGCATCCTTCCAGCCTATGGAGCAATTTTTTTGGAACAGAAGTAGAAGTGAAGTGGGAGGCAGAATCTTCTGCTGGGGAGAGTTCTATGAGCAGAACTCCATTGAATGAACATTTCCACTGGCAAAAATTAGGATCCACACCTGGATGCCATACCCATATGCAAATATCAGTTCAACAGCTAAAGTCATGCTACTAATCAATTAAAATGTCTTTGAGCTTTGACCCTGGTTATTATATGTGAAAGTATTCAACTGCTGGGCCTGTATAATCCCACACATATATAGCTCCCATTGCCAGGGACATGCCCACCACTTCTGCTGGTCACAAGAAGGGTTTTGGTCCCATGAACTCCTTGGTTGCCAATGCTCCAACTATCAGGAAACCTTTTGTTTTTCTAATTGTTATTGTAACTCGATACCTGCTGGGCAATGCATGTGTGCACACATAGAGGAGACAAATGCTGTGTGGAGGAAGACTGTCAAATTGCTGTTTTCCTGTTAAAGAGCTTGATATAAGTCCTTGTGAAAACAGAAAGGCTGTTCTGCCTTATTTTTATGCAACAGGAAAAAGCCCCACTGCATTGAAAGGGAAAACCCAAATGAAGTTTTCTGGTGCTGCCATTCAGCATCGCCAGTGCCAGCATGTTGCCTCACTTTGCAGGCATATGACAAATTGTGTATTCTTGATACAGGAATGGTTTTCTGGCCTTTTCAGATTGATTTTGTATGAAACAATGGAGGAATATAAGTGGAGTGACTATGATGCAGCTAGGCCAGGTTGATCTTTAAAATGAAAACAAAATCTATGATCACCTTCATAAAAAGGAATGTAGGGATGAAAGCAAATGTGATTTCAGCTGCTTGAGTGGCTTAGAGAGGATTGCTTTCCTGCTGTTCAAAAATAGCTCAGCATGCTCAGAAAATGAATCCTAACAGTGTACACAAGATGGCAGTGTTGAAATACAGCACACTGTTCTTATCATTTGTCTTGAAATTTTTGCTCTTCTTTTTTATGCAAAGAATGGATAAATTAGTGGCATAATTAATGCCGGTCCTTCTAACAGGATGAAGAACATGTAATTAGTCTCTGAAGGAGTGGGCTGAGGAAGTGCAGTTTGTATCATGAATTTCTGAACCTCTGTTATTTCTTTATCTCTTTCTATGTATCCCTATAAGTATAGAGATTTCCAGCTAAATTTCATGCACTCTGTGTGTGTGTGTGTCTGGGTGTGTGTCTGAATGACTGAGAGAAACAGAACAGAGCCTGAAACACCAAGATGTTACAATGAACAAAAATGGCAGGCTATCACAAAGTTTAATGCATTGCAATGTGAAGTAGTTGCTTTTTGGCATTTTGTAGCAGCAATAGTTCATTGCGAGGCAGGAGGTGACATTTAAAATGTCTGACTTTTTCAGAGTTATTGAAAACTTGAAGTACTACTCATTGCTCCCATATTCTGAATTCTTTGTATTGTCCCATTTAAAAACTTTATTTTTTAGTTACTGCTAATGGAAGCTTTTAAACTATATGCCTGATATTTGATACACAGAGACTTAGAATAATGTCTGGTTATAGTAGCCATGGTTTTAATCCACACGCTTCAACTTTCCTGGTAGAACTGCTCAGCATCTTGTTCAACTGTGCTAGATTTACAATTAATTGATCCCAGAATGCTCAAACTGATTTAGTACAGATCTTCAACAACAGTATGTTTCAGCTATATTACATCAACCCTTATTGATGGTATAATATTTGCCCGTATTCTTAAAAATGAAAAAACACCCCTGCAGTAAGCAATTGTACCTTGATTAGCTTATGCATTTGCTTATGTGAAAGCATTCCTGCAAAAGCAGTGTATGCAGATAGCCTGCCAAATAGAGTGCCCAAATGCTGTATTTCTGATTGAATCAGTGATCCTATGATAAGCAGATTATAAAATGGCTAAATGGAAAGATGACTTTTGACTGAAAAGTGATAGTGGATGTATAAGTTTTGGAAAGGTATGTGTCATTACTCCTACTTTACCCCTACAAAATGGGAAACCTTCCTCCTATTTTCGTAATAGGACCTCTTTTTTCCTGAACATAGTTCTGACGTATACGCTGTACAGATTTGGGTCTTAATAGTCCCTTATAAAATCAGCATTGCAGAATAAAAGTAATTAATAAGGATCCCAAAGTTTCGTTCAGAGGCCTTAATGATACTAAAACAAGGGCATGGTCATGCTGATTGTGCCTCCAATGATTTTAAGATTGTAAGTCCCAAACATGGCGTCTTATAATCATCCAGTGCAGAGCAGAAGGAGTGGTAGAGATGATCTTCCTATCCCTCTCCTGTACCCAGCATTTTTCACTAGACAGGCTTTTCTGTCCATCTAGCAGTGGTATTTCTGACGTGGAGGGAGGAGCTGGAGAGGCCTCAGGATAGCACATATCCTGGCCTCCAGGGTCTCCTCACCACTTCTCCCACCAAAGCATCTTCTTTAGCTCCTCTCCAAGATTGTTTTTTCAATCTCAGAGAGCAGCCAGTGCAGTCCTTCCTGCACCAGCTGGGAGGGGTGTTCGAGCATTGAATGTTTAAACATAACTTAAAGCAACTTTTATATGAATTGGTTGTGCATTAAGAACTTCATGGCTTGTTGCTGAAATGCTACATGATGCCCTAATTCACAAAAATGAGTATTTTGATGCATATATGTTCTACTGTGACATATGTATGTTGAGGAAATTCAAATCAACCTGTTTGGTTCCTATTGCTTACAGGTCTGCAATCAAAGTTTTGCGTCCAGGAGGGTCTCTGGTTTATTCTACATGTACTCTTTCTAAGGCAGAGAACAGTGATGTCATAACAAACATTCTCGACTCCTGTAGCAATGTTCAGCCCATGGACATGCAAGCCTTGGCCAGTTCTGCATCCCAGGAATTCGCTTTGGCTTCAGGTGTTCAGCAGCATGAACTTCTAGTACTTCCGGAAAAGGGGAAAGCATGGGGACCAATGTATATATCTAAATTAAAGAAAATATGATGAACACAACTCCTGCCTAGTTCATGCAAGTGTGAGGTGGGCAATTGTGAGAAGTCAATGTGCCATTTTCATTCCACCCAGTCCCTCCCCACACAGGTCACAATGGAATGCGGGTTGAGTGGAGCTGGTTTGCTATTAATGGGAAAAAGTTAGTCTATTGTGCTTAGAAGAATACATTTAGCTTGATTGCTAGCTGTAGTGGTCAGCATGCTAAAATGTACAAACTCAGTAGCTAATGAAGTCCATCTGGCTTACCTTTTGTAACTTTGGAGATGTACTAGTGCAGTCATTTCTGCACCAGCTGCAGGTGGGAGAGCATGCTCCAAGGCTAATGCCCAGCTATGAGGTCGCAGCACTTTCCAGGCCTTGCAACTGGGCCCCTCAAAAACTCCTGTGGCTGCCTAGACTTCATTTAGCAGTTTAGAACTGTGCTGTTTGTTGTATTTGCCAGTCTTCACCAACTGATCTCCAGCTCTTGTCAGCCTTTGGCAATATGGCCAGTGGTCAGGAATATTGGGCATGGTAGGCCAAGATATTTGGAGGGCAATAGGCTGAGGAAGACTGTTGTAGGACCATAAAGCAGCCTTTAGGTTCCTAAAGATGGATCAAGTATAACTTGATCTGCTTGTAAAATTACTATATTTAAAAACTTGGTAAGAATGTGATTTTTGTCTGAATAAAGTATATACCAGATTTTTGTCTGAATAAAGTTTTTTATTCAGATTTTTGTCTGAATAAAGTATATATTTTACATTATATATACCAAATACAATACTTATACAGTATGAGCAAAGAAAATTATAACATAGTTTAGATTCCTATGTTATGTCTTACCAAAGGAAACTTCAGCAAGTGGTCCTTGTCGTATCCAAGTCATCCTAGAAGCTAGAGAAGCAAGAAGAACTGGAGGCAGCAGAAAACCCTAAATGTCTATTAGTAAAGGATTCAGGGATGCAATCCTGTAGCTACTAGATGCTGTCTAGACTATCATAGGATAAACCAGAGTCCAAGCTTCAGCCTTGGAACTGTTTTCTGATCCCTGCCTTCACAGTCAGTGCAGTTCTTTCCAGCCAGCTGCAGCTCCAAAGGTGCAAGAGCAACTTTGGAGCTGGCACAGAAGGCCAGGGAAAAATCCGGAGAGGCAGGTTGGAGAGGAAGCAGACACAAAAGACCTAGTTTTGTGGTTTTCCAAACCCTGCGTTTTGCATCTGTAAGCTAACAACTGTAGGATTATCATCTTTAATTGCAGCTACAGGTTATATGGTAAAACATTCTAAACACTGTAAAAGGAACAGATTTATATGCAGAATATCCTTTTCTGGTGAAGCTACCCTATGCTCCAAGAAAATGTGTTTCAAAATGCTACAAATAGTTACTACAAAGGATTGCTTTCTGCCACTCTTGGACAGCAAAGATTATAATGAAACCAGTTTACTGTTACTGTTTCTACTCTGAAAGATTATAATAAACAGAGTCAATTGTACTGAAAGTCCCTTATTAACAGCTGATTGCCAAACATATGGGCCACTTTTGTTTGCAGTTTTGGGATATAACCTCGTGTTTTTCTGATAATTGCAAAACAAATAACCTGAAATGAAACTAAGATGACAAATACATGAGGGATTGTTCCAGAAAAAGCTTTTATTCTGCAACTGCCCTGTTTCAGACACCTAATTTGAAAGGGCCTATAGACATCAGCTTAGGCCATTTGTAACCATCCTGTGTTTTCCCATCACTTCTGTCTTTTTTCTTATAACAAAAACAAAACAAAACCCTACGTAGACAGTGAAGATGGAATAGTTGCAGAATGTCATTTGATTTGTCATGCCCTCCATTTGGAATCATTGCCACCACAGTGTTATAAGAGTATTTCTAAATAAATGCAATCATAAGTATTGGCATAAACAATCTGAACAAATGATTTGAGCAAACTAATGTCAATGCTATTCAGAATACACTGTTCCCAATCAAATGTCCATTTAGTCACAATTCTTTACTAGACTATATAAATTGTTATAAATTATTGCAAGGCAAGAGCAACGTAATAAAAATTATATCTTCTTCACAGACCATAATAATGGAAAGTTCCTATGATCTTGTTCAGAAAGTAGTGTTGACAATACTGGGGAACATATTCCTTGTGTAAAGTTATATGGGTTTGGATAAGTATCAAATGGCTGCCAACTTTCTTTAATGTTGTTGTGTGCTGTCAAGTTGTCTCCAACTGAAACCAGCCCTATGGATGAAAGCGCTCCAAAATGTCCTTGCCTTAAAGCCCCGCTCAGCTTTTGTAAACTCAAGGCCGTGGCTTCCTTTATGGCATCAAGCCATCTCAAATTCGATCATTCCTATCTCCTACTTCTAGCATTATTGTGTTATCCAGTGACTCTTGCCCATTCATGATATGCCCAAACTATGACAGCCTCAGCTTTGTCCTTTGCGCTTCCAGGGAAAGTCCAGGCTTGAATTGATTTTTAAAAATTGAATAAAGGAATTTCCCTTTCTAATACACACATGTACAATAGAGGTCAGTTAGTGAACTTGCTTGTAACTTTGTTGCATGGAGAGGCTTATTTTTGGAGCACAAAAACTGCCCTAAATCCTACAAAGAATCCAGAAGCAGGATGCTTGGCTAAGTGATGCCTTAAAAGCCTTGTACAGGAAGCCCATAATGAAGCCTGCTATTGTGCTGTTTCCATTTAGCACGAACCCTTTGGAGAAACTTGGCGATGGGGGCAGAGAATATTTTCTTTAGCTTCTCTCATTTACCCTTCATGCAGGTAAGTAACTTGATGTAATTTCTTGCTATTTGTAGCCACATCATAATATAGAAGAAGCTATTTCTGAGGACAGTCCAATAACATCACATATGTCACTGTAGAAATGGTTTTCACAGCAGCAGCTGCTGCTGTTATTATTGTTGTTACTGTTATTTATTAGATTTCTAAAATAACCCCCTTCTGCCTAGCTATAAAAACATCATCTCACTTAAGCATGCCATAGCTCAGTGGCAGAGCACATGCTTCCTCTGCAAAAGCTCCTAAATTCAGTCCCTGGCATCTCCGTGTAGGACTGGCAAAGAATCCTGACTGCAGCTCTGGAGAGCCACTGGAAGTCAGTGCAAGCTAAGCTTGGGGGACCTCTTGCCGTCCAAGGGCCAAATTTAATTCTGAAGACACTCTGATACTGGACAGGGCCAGAAGCAAAACAGGCAGAGCCCTAACCACCAAAAATACCAGCATAGTTTAGCTTAAAGCTCTTCCTGCCACTGGCTAAGCCTTCAGTGAGGCATTTCAGCCTGCAGAAGGAGGAAACTGCACAAAAGCTGGGAAAACAAGCTGGAGAAAGCGGCTGGGGCCATCTGGAGCCGGAGTGGAATTCCAGGAGGGACACATGTGGAGCTCCTGTCCTGAATTCCCCTGGCATAGCCAATACCAAGCTACATGGCTCAGTGCCATAAGGCATTTTCCTATGAACCTAGTCTCTCAGTGCCTTGGTATCTCCTCTAGGGACACCCAATCATTAAGCTGGCTCACGTGGGCAATTGCTCTCTTGCATGCAGGAGTGGCCCCAACATCACCTGTTTCAGATGGCATGCACCCACTCCCTGTTGGAAGGGGGCATTGAGGACTTCCCTGATCTGACTGGCTATTCCCTCTCTTCTAGCTTTTATTAGCCAAGAGGGGAAACAATCCCGTATGCATGTGGTTGCACAAACCTGTCCACACACCTTGTCAATCTTCTCCAGGTGTATCATCTGGAAATCATCCAAGAAAACTTGACCAGGCTGTGGTCTGGGTATCGTTCCTTATTCAAGTGCTATAACATTGAAAGACAACAGAAAGAAAGTTCTGTTGGAGGCAAGAAATTTTTTTTCCTGGTAATGCTTAGCAAATATATTGCAGTGGGCCCTTGGGGCCAGACTGTAATAAGCACTGGACTGCCCTAAAGAGTTCCACTGGACAGCAAACAGAAGATTGAATTGAAGAAGTGAGATAGTGTTTACTTGCTGTTCTAGCTGTCCCCAGATATACTTGACTCTTGGTGAATACCAGGGTACAATTGAATCCACTTGAATTTTCTTCCATCTACACTCAAGTCAACTCCTGTTTCACCTCGTCATTCTCAGCTCTGGGATATAACACAGAGCCATATGACCTCTACTATAACAAATATGGTTGAGAGTGATGATGTCAGCTACCCAAGTCATCTCTGTATTCCAAGAATTGACTAAGGATTTGACAGAACCACCAGCCATATCAGAGAACCTTCAGGAAACCATCTGGATCTACCAACCTGGAGAGGTGGACCATTTTAACATGTCCTCAACCCCTGCAAAGAGGAAAAGTTGCTGTTGGTCTAACTCTCAGCAGGTAGTGATCCAACCATGACATTTCAAAAGGCCATGAAATGCACCAGTGCCCTTGACATTGATGTTAATGTCCCCAAGGACATCCGCATTGCAACCGAAACAACCTCTGTCCATATCTGGGGATACAGCTTGGTCACAGGGTGGATAGTCCACCAGCAGAATCCCTAATCTCCTGCTGACCCAACACAAGATTCAAACCCTCTAGGAGTCAGACAGACAGGGAGCCCTTCTGCAGACTGTGGTAGCCCCACTCCTCAGCCCTCCAGGTTCTTCTGATGCTGTACAAAGTCCCTTCAAGGTCAATGCTGGGACCAACCAGCTCCTCCCTGATCACGCACCTAGGCCTTGGTTATGCCTGCCAGATTGGCCATCTCATCCATCCCTAAATAGTGGATGCGGGAGTTCTTACTGTGCACCAACCTGGCATTTACAAGCAGCACCTGCAGACCTGAACAGGTGGCTTGAGCATGACCAGAGTTACTTAATGGGATTTAAATTTATGCATATTTTATTAGCATATTGTAAAACTTTAAAGTCAATAATACATACTTCCCTTACATTGCTTAGGTAAAGCTAGATCTCGCTTCCAATAGTACTGAAACTGATGCTATGCTAATTTATTTTAGCCGCCCCGCCC